CGCTCCGCCTCCCGCAACGCAACGCGCCGCTCCCGCCCGGCCGGCTGCGCCCGGGCGCCCGCCGCCGCCGCCGCCGCCGCGAAGGGAGCGCGGCCGGGGGCTCGCCCCGAACAAAAGGCGCCCTTCCCGACCTGTTGCCGCGGGGGCCCAGGTGAGCGCGGCCCGCCCGCATCGCCGCCCGCGGAGGCGCCTGGAGACAGATGGTGGCCCGGCCGCCGCGAGAGGCTGCCGCCAGACGCCCGCACTTCCCCGCGAAGCAGCGGCGAGCGCGCCGGCCGGGCGGGGACGTTTGACGGCCGGCTGGGAGCAGCCCGGCGGCGCCTGTTTTCCGCGGGGCACGCCGCCCCCCATGCTCGCCCCCTCGGCCGGACCTTTCCTGGAGGATCTGCCCGGATTCCGCCTCCGGTGGCACACCTGCGGCCGGAGGGCGCCTTGATGCGGGGCTCACCTGGGGAGGCCCGGTAGGCCAAGCCCCGCTCTGGGCGTGAGGTGCCCGGGCTCGGAGAGCCACCGGTGTCCCAGCGCCCGTGCCGAGGCCTCGCCGCTTGAGAGGAGCCGGACGGCCACACTCGGGCCTCTGCCCTTGTCATGGGGGGGCTGCTGCAGCAACCGACGGGATCGCCAGACGCTGCCCTGGAATACTAGCGGGGCAGGAGGGTTTTTCCGCCCGTGCCACCCGGTTGGGTGGCGAGGCTCGCCACCGACATGGAGACCAAGATCCCTCCGGCCGTGACCCCCACCAGCCCCTCCTCGCCGGGGCTCTCGCCGGTGCCTCCGCCGGACAAGGTGGACGGATTCTCCCGCCGCTCGCTCCGCCGCTCCCAGCAGAGGCGGTCCCACAGTTCCTCCCAGTTCCGCTACCAGAGCAAGCAGCAGGAGCTCACGCCGCTCCCGCTTCTCAAAGGTAAGACCCCTCGCGGGAGGCTCACCTGTCCCCGCTGCCCCGGCGGGTGCGTGTGGCCCGGAAGAGCCGCCGGAGGCCCTGCAGAGGTCCGCTCTCTCGTCCCTGGGCTGGAGCCCCGTGCCCTGCATGGCTGCACCGCCGCTGGCCGCTCCCCGGGGCCTGGGGTCGCCACGCGTGTCTCCGCCTGCGGGAGAGCGGCAGCGCTCGCCGCTGCAGCAAGAGGCCGGGCCAGAGGCACCTGCACGGGAGGCAGGGCGATGGAGCGTGAGCCGAGCGTGAAACTTGCGGCCGTGGCCTTTGTTCCATCCCGCTCGTGCTGGCACGCACAGCCCCTTTCCTTGCGGCCGGGCTGCCTCCAGCGGCCTCCTCGCGGCTCTCGGCGAGAGAGACATGCAGTGGTGTCGCTGAGGAAGAGCGAGCCTGTCTGCGGCCGGCGGCTTTGCCGAGCAGCCGTGCAGCCCTTCCCCCTTTGTGCAGCCATGAGCTCGGGCTTCTCTGCTTGCGGCTGCGGCTCCGGGGCTGGGCAGAGCCTCCTCATTCCCCTGGTGGGCCCAGCTGGGCGGGTGGGTGGCCCTTTTGGGCGCAGGGTCCCGAGCTCAATTCCCAGCATTTCGAACTCGAAAAGAGGCCGTGCTTCAGGAGGCAGGGAGAAGGGTGGCAGGCTGCCGCCGGCGCGGCCAGACAATACGAGGCCAGAGGAGCAAATAGGCTGGCTCCTGGAGAGCCAGTTCTGTTATTCCGGAAGAAGGAGCTCAGCAGGGTGGCGGAGCATCTGCTTTGCACCCCGAAGGTCGCCGGTTCGATCCGCGGCTTCCCTTTCAAAACGATCCAGTGACCTTGGGCAACACTGGCCTGGTGGAGAAGCTGCCTCACCAGGCACAAGGCTCGTGTGGAGGGAGACCGTTGCTCCATCGGGGGTCTGCGTTTGGCCTCGCAGCAGCAGCGCCTTCATGGCCACTGAACCCAATGCTGAGAGAGGGGTGCGTGCCTTTCCGAGGGGCCTGGAAGATGCCCGCCCCAATTTCTGATTTTAGAAGGCAGCCGAGGAGGTGGAGGCATGCTTTGGCCAAAACTGGCACGCGCCACCGGGTGGGGCTGGTGGATTGTGAATAAAAAGATTTTTAAAATAACGCAACTCCTTTCTTCAAACGTCCTCACAGTGACTAACAGAGAAAACGCCAATTGCAGGGCGCACGGCGGTGCCGAGTGAGTCGGCGTGTATTTACAATATGTGTTAAAGCAGATGTTAACCCAGACAGCTGTTTCTGTTAAAAGAGAGCCTCTCCCGACAGGGAAGGGCTGTGGCCCAGCCCGGCCGGTCTCAGCGGGGCTCCACTCCCTTTCCGTCCGTAACCGGAGCGCTGGGCCAGGGCCTGCGGGGCGGCAGGGCAGTCCCCTGAGGCGGCTTTCTGTGCCCCGGCCTGCACGCCCCGCGACCCTCCTCCTGCCGCCGCGCTGAGTGGGGACAGCACAGCGCTCTGCCGCCTGCACCCCCAGTTCGAGCAGCTGCGTCGTGGAGGCCACCCAGGAGCAGGCGGGCTGCCGGCCCGTGCCAGGGTGCGGAAGGGGCTCTCCCGGCTGCCCCGTTGCCAGAGATGGCTTCCCCTTTGGCCGCCGGCTGCTGCATCTGCGCTCAGTCCCAGCCCTGGGCCGGCCCTCCTGCCATGGAAACGTGTCCCGGGGGACCCCTTCTGCCGCCTCCTGTCTCAGGAGATGCGGCGGAGGAGGAGAGGCAGGCGGCGGCATGGCTTGCGCGGGTCTTTCTGCTCGGCCCTTCTGCGGCTGCAGCCTTTGGCTCCTCGTGCCCCAGCCCCACGACGTCCTTCGGAGGCCAGGCCAGATGGGCATTCTGGGCACGGCCATCCTGCCTTCTTTAGTACGGAGAGGGCGGAAAATTCGTTATTTGTTTGCTTGTTTCTTATAAGCCGCCTTTTTTCCTTCCAAGGAACTCGAGGCAGCTCTCTCCCCCGCCCCCCCAGTCTTATCCTCACTACAACGACCCTGTGAGGTAGGCTGGGCTGAGCATCTGCAGCTGCTCCAGTGTCCAGGGCTTGAACTCGGAGCTTCCGCATCCCTAGGCCGCACTCTTAACCACCACACCCCACTGGATTCCCGAATTTGGAAAGGGGCCATGGCCCCTGCCTCCACGCAGAAAGTCCTGGGTCCAGTCCTGAGCATCTGCCAGCAGTGTTGGACAAACTCCTGTGGCTGCCGGCCCGTGTGGACGGTACTGAAGTAAATGGATCTCATGGTCCGACATAAGATAAGGCCACTGCTTGTCCACCCTCAGAGCATTCAGAGTTCAGTGACAGAGTCCCTGATTTGCAGAGGTGAAGACCCGGGTTCCATCCCAAGAAGGACGGGCAGAAACGGACAAACCCTTGCCAGGGCGATGTTGCTGCCGGCCTGTGTTGACCATCCTGGGCTACGAGGACCCAGGTTCCGCCTTACTGGCAACATTCTCTGTCTATTAATAGATCTCGGAGTGACTTGCAGTGGGGTCTCTGACTTCCAATCATCTCAGAAGGGGGAGGCCAAGAAGGTTTTTTCTGATCAATAACAGGAACACAATTAGCCTCCCTTTCCAGAATTGCTCCAGGCTCTGCTTTTTACAGGAGAGGCAGCTGTCCTAACAAAAGACAGAAATTAAGTAGATCTTGGCAAAATGACCCATCTTTACCTGATTGCTTTCATTTTTATACAGTCCAGTAGTGGAAGCTCTCTGGGCACTTCCCAACCACTTAAGACAATTTAAAACCAAAAAATACAGCACAAAAATGTAAATAGCCAAGACTGTGGCATGCCATAAAAGTGAAAGCTAGAGTAAAACAGCCGTGACACCAAGACTGAAAACACAGGACAGAATTTAAAACAGAAACGAGAACTCCCAAAGAATTTCTTGGGAAAGAAGTGCTCACCTGGCACAAGGTAGGTGTCAAGCCTTCCTGTGAGGATCATTCTGGAGTTGAGGAGCCACAGCCAAAAAGACCCTTCTCTCGGTGGCAATCCACGCGACTTCCCTTGGTGGGGGATCCTTCAGGAAGATCACTGAGGAGGATCTGCAGATCCAGAAGTGTGCATTCAGGAGGCTTTAAGCATCAGAAGAAAGTCGGCATTAGCTGAGCTGTCCCAAGGTTTTTCGGGGCCTGAGTCAGAAAAACACACGAGTACATTGTGAAAGGACCAGTTCTGCCTGCTGGGAACATGTTGGAGGAGAAACGCTGGGACCGTGTTGGAGGGGTTGGCATTTTAAAACATCCGAGCCGCTTTGGCGGGGTCTCTTTCCGAGGCACCTCAAGTGCCTCGAATTGTATTTTTATCTTCCTGTGTTACAATTTCTTTTACATGCTCTTCCCTTTAAAATTCCCAGAGCTGTCCACTGTGAGAGCACTGCAACAGTGGAGCCGGCTGCCCGGAGAGGTGGGGGCCCCCCACACTGGAGGCATTCGAGGGGAAACGGGGCGGCCGCCGGAGCGGGGTGCCGCGGCTTGCAGTGCTGCGTTGCGCAGGGGTTGGACTGGATGGCCTTCATGGCCCCTTCCAACGCTATTTCATGATTCTCCCACCTGGCGGCTTCCTGATGGGCAGGAGTGCAATGCCCGTCACCTGGCTTGGTCGGCTGGGGGTAATGGAAGCTGCAGTGCAAAGCATCTTGCGGGGTGGGGTAGAAGGAAAGTCGGGTTGCTTCAGCCGGCTCTTGAGCCCCGCAGATACCCGGGGAGGAGTCCGAGCTGGGGAGGCCCGGCTCGGCTCGGCTCGGCTCGGCAGCTCAGCCCGCGTGGCCCGTTCTCTCCCCGCAGAGGCGCCCGTCTCCGAGCTCCATGACCTCCTGTGCAAGAAGCTGCAGCAGTGCTGCATCCTCTTCGACTTCCTTGACTGCGTGGCCGACCTGAAGGGCAAGGAGATCAAGCGGGCGGCGCTCAACGAGCTGGTGGAGTGCGTGGCCACCAACCGCGGCATCCTCATCGAGCCGCTGTACCCCGAGATCATCAAGATGGTGAGGAGGCCCGGACCAGGGGCCCCCCACGTCCTGGTGCGGGGGCACCCGCAGGCTCTGCCCACTCGAGCCCCCCGGGGCAGAGCGGCACGGCAGGGGGCTCCTCCGTCCTGCCAGCGCGCATCAGCAGTGTGTGACCAGAATGCCCATCATCCCCAAGCCCCCGTGCTGGCTGGGTGTTGTGGTGCACAGCTGCAGGGCTGCCGACCAAGGAAAGCTGTGCCCGAGCCGCAGGGCAGCCCCGGGGATCCGCCCAGCCTTTCTGCCCTGGCTGACGCCGTGCCTCCCCACAGATCTCAGTCAACATTTTCCGGACGCTTCCACCCAGTGAAAACCCCGAGTTTGACCCTGAGGAGGACGAGCCCAACCTGGAGCCATCCTGGCCTCACCTCCAGGTAAGGATCCCCCGTGGGGCACGGATGGCGCGGAAGCCCCTGGCAGCAGGGCTGCAGGAAGTCCCCAGCTCCGCCCTTCGGCGTCCAGATCAGGCCGCTCGCTGGGCAGAAAGGGCTGTGGATGCTTCCCCGGGGCTCTGGGTGAACGCGAGCGGAGGCACCGTGGTTTGTTTCCTCTGCATGCAGGACGCCATTTGCAAAGGCGATGGCTGCTGGGAGCCCTTCACCCCCCTCCAAAAAACCTCTCTTTGTCTGGCCTAGAAAAACTTCAATTTTGGTTGCTCTCAGGCAGGAAATGCACTGACCTTTGCTTATTTAAAATTTTTGGGAAATGCATCGACTGTTTTTCTCTGCATTTGCACCGATTGCTGTAATTATATGCCCCTTTTGTGCGGATTTATGCCCTGTAAGTTGGAGTCCCGAGTGGCGCCCACAGCGGGGGGCCCTTTCCGTCGCTTCCTTGAGCCGGCGGGGGCGGGGGGAACAGTTTGGCGGAAAGGACTTCCAGCTCCCATCTTTTATTTTCCAGCTTGTGTATGAATTTTTCCTCCGGTTCCTTGAAAGCCCGGACTTCCAGCCCACAGTTGCAAAGCGCTACATAGACCAGAAATTCGTACTGCTGGTGAGCGTGTGCACGAGGACACGTTTCGGGGTGGCAGTTCACTATAATAAGTGTGAAATTTAATTTAAAGAGGGGGAGCACCGGCCCCGGGCCTGCCTCGCCGGAGAAGGGTTATAAAATGGGTAACCCACAAGCTCTTCCTGGATACTCCCCAGTTTATGTTTGGGGAGTATCCAGGAACAAGGCCGCATGAGAGCGGAATATCCGGGAAGGCTGGGCGGGAGCGGGCGCTCCGTCATGTTTCGCTGGTGGCCACCTCTCCCCTTCCCTTTGCCCCCCCAAGCTGCTAGACCTCTTTGACAGCGAGGACCCCCGCGAGCGCGAATACCTCAAGACCATCCTGCACCGCGTCTACGGCAAATTCCTGGGCCTGCGCGCCTACATCCGCAAGCAGTGCAACAACATCTTCTTGCGGTGAGAGCTCCCGGCCCGGCCTTGCTTGCCCCACGGGTCATCAGTGGGGCCAGGGGTCACGGGCGTCACGTCCCTCCGTCCGGTGTGCAGCCACCTGTGGGGCACTAGCCGTGGCACATAGTGATGGGGGGGCGCTCGGGCAGGACCGAATCGCTCGGGTCGTCCCCCTTGCCTCCCAGCTGGGCGCCCCACACCGAGGCTCCTTCTGGGGGTTTCTGGGTGAATCGGATGCATGCGCTTTAGCGGTGGGCCTTCCGTGGTGGGCCTCCATCAGCTTCGCTCCCTCTCCCTCCAGGTTTATCTACGAGACAGAACATTTCAACGGCGTGGCAGAGTTACTGGAGATCTTGGGGAGGTATCTACCTGTCCACACCTGTGTGCAGAACCCCTGTTGCTCGAGGGCCACATTCCCTTTCCGGAAGCTCTCCGGGGCCACATTCCCCTGGTGGGCGGGGCCAAAGGCAAAAGGGGTGGGGCTGCAGCAGCACAGGGGCCAGGCCCCCCCAGCTGAAGGCCTGTTTTCCCCTTGTGAGAAACCCGACGCAGCTTCCAGAGCTCCGTTTCCCGTTTTACCCTCACAACAACCCTGTGAGGTAGGCTGGGCTGAGACAGAATGGCTGGCCCAAGGCACTCGGGGGAGCTTTGTGGCCAAGGGGGACTAGAACCCAGATCCCCCAGGTCCTCAGTCCTACGCCCTCCGCTCCCCACTACACAGGCTCTCGGAAAGATGCCCGGCTTCTCCACCACAGCGGTGGCGACACAGCTGCTCCTGCAGGCCGCTGCACGAAACGGGTATCACCAGCTTCGGGGCCATCTCGGCGTCCAGGCTGAGCAGCTCGGGCTTTCGGGACTGTGTCCCCTGCCAGGGACAGTGTCCCAACCTCTCGTCTCCCCCAGCTTTGACCCCTGCTCGCTTTTCCTTGCCTAGCATCATCAACGGCTTTGCCTTGCCTTTGAAGACGGAACACAAGCAGTTCCTCGTCCGGGTGCTCATCCCGCTCCACTCGGTGAAATCGCTCTCCATCTTCCACGCCCAGGTGAGCCGCATCCAGGGCCGTCTACAGCTTGGAATCTGCCCCACCTGGAGTCTTTCCGTCCCTTCTTGCTCACCTGTTTACTTATGTTGAGGGCGTTTCTTATCTCCCAATAGCTGACTCGCTCTTGGCAGTTTGCAAAACTATAAAATACAAAAGCTTAATCAAGCGTTCCATGAAAACATTCAAAAGCTTCAAAATGAATAAAACTCAAATACAAAAAGAAAAGCCATCAGCAGTGCAAGGATTTTAAAACGGAGTCGCGCTTTTTCGAAAAACCGAAAGGCTAAAAGGGGCAAAAGATTGTATGAGCATTACAAAGGGAAAGCATTCCCACAGGCTGGAATTCCAGTCCGGGCTCTGTTGAGTCTGTGAGCGTCTGCCCAAGTGCATGTTCCAGCCCTCTCACCCCCGTCTCTTCTGCAGCTCGCTTACTGCGTTGTCCAGTTCCTGGAGAAAGATGCCACCCTGACGGAGCACGTGAGTGGGGGTTTGCCGAGCGGAGCTGGGCTACTCGTAGGGGAAGGGGGTCCAGGATGCTGGGCATCCCGCTAAGCTTGGCTGGAGCCACAGATGCAGGGAGCCAAGGAGATCACCAGCCGGCCTGGACTGGTTAGGAACCACGGAGCTTGCCAGGTCGGCTTTATAGCCGCGGTTCCCCTTACATCTGGAGAGCAGGGAGGTCGAAGGCATCGAAACAGCTCAAACGATTCTTCCAGCTAGTCCTGTATTGTCAGCCGTGAGTGGCAGCAGCTGCCCAGACAAAGAAGGGTCGTTCCCATCACCCAAGCTTTTAAACTGGAGGCACTGGGCCTTTCTGCGTGCAAAGCGTGCGTTCAGTTGGGAAGCAGTGGTCCCTCCTCTAGGAGGAGCAGCGTGTGTCAGGCTAGCCCAGTATTGCCGGCTCTGACTGGCAGTGGCTCTGTGGGTTTTCCCATCACCTGCTACCTCGAGATCTTGGAGGCTGAACTGGAGACTTCCTGCTCCCGGAGCAAAATTTTTTCCGTGCAACACGGGAAGCTGCTCAAGGCCAGGCCTGGCGATGTCCCTGTTTCGGGCACTGGATCTCCAAGTTGTCGGAAGAGAGAAGGGGCTTCCCGCGTCCCCCAATATCTGGCCGTTGGAAGGTGGAGATGCGGGAGCCAAAGCAACAGCCACAAGCAAACAGTGGGTTTGTCGCTGAGGCACAGGACAGCGGAAGCAGAAACCCTTCCTTTGGGATGGCCGCACTCCAGTTTTGGGATGGGATTTAATGGAGAAGGTTACAAGCCCTTGGCCAACCTGAGCAAGAAGGCTGAGCGGTCCTGGATTGCGTTTTCAACTTTCTCACGTCCCCTCCTCTCCTTCCTGTGCAGGTGATCCGTGGTCTGTTGAAATACTGGCCAAAGACCTGCACCCAGAAGGAGGTACCGCATGCTCATTTCTTACTTGATCGCGTCTGTAAATGGAGACAGTAAATTTTAGAGCTGTCACAATACGTTTTGTCTGTCCTGCAAAATATAATGGTATCTAATTGTGAGTTTTGAAGTTCGCTTGTTCTCCTTGTGCACCGATGGACTTTTGCTTGTCCCGTCTGTGTTGTTGTCGTAATTGTGTTTTATAAACTGCAGCGTGGATATTTTGTGCGAAATGCGCCACTCCTTGCAGATGCCTTACCTCTCTTTGGTTTCGACGGGGCAGGAAAGGATCTTCCGGGTTTGGCTGGAGGTAGAGAAGGACAGGAGATTTAGAGGCTGGGCAAAGATCCGCAGAGCCTTCCCCCAACTTGGTGCTTTCCCCGTTTTTGTGCCGTTTGTCTCCTGTCCAGAAAGCTTGGGATGCTTCCCCCCATGGGTGCATTTCTGGCAGTGGGAGACTTAAGTGACCGAGTGCTGGGATTCCTTGCTTTCTGCTCCTCGCCGCGCTCGGTTTGCCCTGGCCAACTCTGCAAGGTGTTCCCCAGATGCACCCTCAAAATTCTGCTTCCCTGGAGTGGAAGGAAGGGAAAGATCTGCATTGGTTTCCTGCCCTGCCTCCTAATTCCTCCCTCTCCCCCTCTGCCGCCCCCAAAAACCCACCCAGGTGATGTTTCTTGGGGAGATTGAAGAAATCCTCGATGTCATTGAGCCATCGCAGTTTGTGAAAATCCAGGAGCCACTCTTCAGGCAGGTGGCTCGATGCATTGCCAGCCCACACTTCCAGGTACGCTGCTACCTGCCATGGGAGGGGGAGGGTGGGGCAACTGGAGGGGGCAGACCAGGCCCGGGACAACCCCGATCAGAAGCAGCCCCTCCGAGCAGTCCGGGCTTCCTCGGGTGCCCGTCCCGGTCTGCCAGAGCGAGAGGAAGGCCACGGATTCTCCGGCGCTCCCAATGCACCCCTGGCAACCTTCTTCTGTGTCACCTGCAGCAGCCCAACTGGCGTGGTAGAGTGCAGCAGAACATGGAGGCTCAATTCTTGGGGGCACCCCAGATGCTGGGCACACGCGCCAGGATCGTGGGCTCTGGGCTGCTGCAAAGGGGGCGCCGAGCCCAGGGAGCCCGACAGGTTCTCGGCCCCGAACGCGGTGGCGGCCGCACCCCTCGCCGGGCAGCGGGGCTAGGGGCCCGCGGTGGGGAGAGCCTCGCCGCGGCACCCACGCCGGCGCGTTGCACGTTGCAGGTTGCAGAGCGGGCTCTGTACTTCTGGAACAACGAGTACATTCTCAGCCTGGTGGAGGACAACTGCCACGCGGTGCTGCCCACCGTCTTCGGCACGCTCTACCACGTCTCCAAGGAGCACTGGAACCCGTGAGTGTGGGGGGCAAAGGGGGCCCCCGTGGGCGAGCGGCCTGGGCTCGCTCCGGGCCACCAATGAGCCCCGAAGCCAAGCCCCCCGCCTCGAGGGGGGCGGCTGGGGGGCGGGGTCGCAAGCCACCGCGCGGGACTCTGCAGCCGGCCGCGGCCCCTCCGAACGCAGCGGCATCGGCGCGTCAGGGAGCGCGCGCCCCGGAAGGAGCATTTGCAGCCAGTTCTGAAAATAGCCGCCTCCTGGGCCCCCCAATTTCCACCGGACGGGCTTGTGCGAGGGCGAGGGGAGCCAACGTGCCGGAGGCCCTGCCGGACCGTCTCCTCCGCAGACCTCAGTGCCCGGACGGGCGGACGAGGCTAGGGTCCCGGTCCCGGCTTGTGCGGGGGCTGCAGCAGAGGCGGGAAGCGCCGCTTAGGGGGGCACCGGCCCTCTTCTGCCCCACACGGGCAGCCCCACAATCCCACCTTGAGGTCCCTCCTCCCGCTGCACGACCCGGGAGCCGAAGGGACGCCACGTGGGGTCTGGCTGGGCCCACCAGTGGCAAAGGGGCTGCCGCCCCTACTTACGTCGCTCTGGTCTTTCCTCGCCTCCACACGGCACCCGGGGCCGCAGGACCATCGTTTCCCTGGTCTACAACGTCCTCAAGACCTTTATGGAGATGAACGGGAAACTCTTCGACGAGCTGACGGCCTCCTACAAGGTGGAAAAGCAGCAGTAAGTGTCTGCAGCGCCCGTGCGGGGTGACGGTGAGGGCCTTGGAGAGGTGGCTCTCGGCCCAGCCTGCCTTGCAGGGTTGTTGTGAGGATGCCCTGCAGCTAAGGCAGGGCCCTGGCTCCTCGCAAGAGAAAAACGGGGCGGGGGGGGGCAGAAATGCAGAGCGAGGGTAATGATGACGACTGTGAAATGGAGAGTGGAAAGGAGGCGGCCTGAGTCATGCGCTTGGACTGAAGGATTTCCGTCCACTCATCCGAGTCCTCCAGGCTCGCCTCGCACTTGAAATGCACGTTGGCTGGAATCCTCCAGCTTTAGGATCCTTCAGATGCTGCTCGGGGGAGGGCGGCTCTGAAAGCAGGTTGGGAGCAAAGGGGCAGTGGGGAAGGGGGGAGCATGGCCCCCCCCCAGAGCGACCCCCTTGACGCGTTGGGGCTGCCGGTCTTCCCAGGGCCTTTGGGACGGGGCTTCCAGGCGTCCCCCCGGTGCCCGAGGGGGCCAGCCCGGGTTGTGGTCCTTGAGCTCCCCCCTCCTCCCCCCCCCCAGGGAACTGAAGAAGGAGAAGGAGCGGCAGGAACTGTGGAAGCAGCTGGACGAGCTGCGGCTGCGCAAGCTGCAGGGCCTGGAGGAGGCGAAGATGAACCGGCTCAACCTGCAGAACAGCCTGGCCGTGCAGAGCGGGGGGGCCAGCTAGGAGTCCCCCCGGAGCCCCCGCCGGGCCCGGGAGCAGCACGCTGGCTGCCCCCCCGCCCAGCCCAGCCCAGCCCGTGCCACGCAGGCCCGGGGTGGGGTCTGGCCGCAGGCAGCGCCTCCCAGGGGAGCCCAGGCGCTTGTGGGGGGGCAGAGCCGGTGAGACAAGCAATAGGGCCTCTCACTCCACAGCTGCTCCGGGGGGGGGGGGCCCTGGGCCGAGTGGGGGCCGGAGGGAGGGGCTTTCTGCCCGCCCGGGGGGACGGCTGCCGCCATTTCCGCTCAGCCTTCGGGGGCTTGTGCTCCGAGAGATCCCCCCGTTTGTGGGTCTGGGTTGTGAGACGTTTGAGCTTGGACGGATGGGGCTCACAGGGGGGCGCACAGAGACATGCCCAGGCCCACTTTGCTTCAGCCCCCCCAGCCCCCGAGGAGCGAGGGGTCAGTCCAGCGCAGGCCCCGTCCCCCCGTGCCCCCCCAACCGAAATTCGGGGCAGCCGGAGGGGAAAGAGTGCCCGAGGCACTGCACTTTAGACGGACCGCGAGTTGTACAGGGAGAGATGGGGTTCCTCCGGTGGACTCCAGCGCTGGAGAGGCGGCACGTGGGGCAGAGGCAGGCCTTGCGGGCGGCTGGGGGGCAGGATGATCCGGGGGAAGCGGCCAGGCACGTGCCGCCCCGCTGCAGCTTGCTCTGGTCCAGCCCTCCTCCCGGGTCACGCGTCCCTCGGCCCTTCCCGGGGGGACTTCAGGGGGCCCCAGATTCCCGAAACCCTGGGGGGCTGTCGTGGGGGGGCTTCTCCAGCCAAGCGTCTCTCCAGGGACCGCAGGCCCCGTCGCCCCCTCGGTTTCCTCTTTCATATCTTCTTCACCAAAGGCTTGGTGTGTGTTTATATTTTTTCGGGGAGGGGGTGGTGGCTGCGGCTCCCCCGCTGCCCCGCCGTCTTCTAGGCATGATGACCTCAAACCATGATCTGTATCGAATAGTCACGGGGTGCTGGTTTTCGGGGAGGGGGCTGCGTGCATTGCAGCTTCAGTTTATAGCAGACACGGTAGTCATCGGGGGCGGCCTGTCCAGAGCGGCTTCCCCGCCTGGGGCTCTGCGGATGCACTGGAGCGTGTCTCCCCTCATCCCCAGCTCGGCTGGGGATGCTGGGACCAGTACTCCAGCGCATGCAGGAGGCGCGGGTCTGGAGACGGCTGTTGCCCCTTCCTAGATGCCGCACGGGTGTAGTTTCCACAGGAGGCACGCAGGTGGGATGGGGGGGCGGGGGGAGATGCTGCAGGAGAGAGCTATTTTATTGGGGGGGGCAATTTATTTATTAAAAGTTTCGCTACTGTGAACCCGCCCCCTGCCCTGTGTTCCTTTTGCTGGACGAAGTCTGTATTCAATAAAGAGAAACTTTCATGTCACGGCCGATTTGGTGTCCAATCAGTGGCTTGGGGTACGGGGGGGCAGGGGGTGGGGGGACATCTCTTGCACAAGCTGCCACTGCCATCCTGATCAGCTAAGACCCCCGCCCGCCGGTACCTCCTCGGAGTTTCAGACTTTATTTCTCATCAGCCACAGTCCCTAGAATGGCCGCTGCTGGGAGTTGTAGTCCAAAACATCCAGACAGCCCCAGAGCGGGGAAGGATGCTGTATCCCACCCTAGCTGAAAAAGAAAAAAAAAAAAGATTCTTCCAATGTGGAGTTTTGCATCTTAAATTCACCGAAACCGTGGCATGAACTTGAGTTAGGAATAAGATGCTTACATTTTCTGTCTTGCTGCTTAAATGCATTTATTTTTGAGCACCCACCGTACCGCTGCAGAAGAGGAGACGCCTATAAAATCGATAATAAAATAAACTGCTGTCCTATTCTTACTGCCTTCTGGCAGTTTCGCCTGTGAATAAAGAGCGGCACCAGCCTCGAACGTGGACGGATGTTCTCGCAGGACGGAAAAGGGCTCTCCAGACCGCAGGGCCAGCCCGGTTTCTTGGCAGCCAGGGTCTGGACTGCGTCAGCTGTGCCAAGATAGAGCTGCTGAGGAATGATGGGAGATGTGATCCAACCCACCTGGAGGGTGGGGGAAATTGGCCTGGGGCCTTGGATTCATCGTGCCCCACCGAGGATGGGGCGAGGCAGGGAAGCACCCGGCAAGGATTACTGGAAAGGCGGCGGGCGGGAGAGGAGGGCTGGCGGCCCTAGTATCTGGAAAGGCGGCACATGTCGCACCGGCAAGCCTTGGCGGTGAACAGCTCCAGGGCCGCGCGTGGGCCGGCTCCGCAGGGCAGCCGCACCTTGACCTGGAGGACAGAGGAGCACAAGGCCGCCCTGAGCTTCGCGGAAGTGCTCCAGCTCTGGAGCTCCTGCGGGTGCGTCCAGATGGGCCTCCCTGCTGGGCCAGCCTGGTGGGGCCCTGCCCAGGGCCCAGCAGCCCCCCCCCCCCAAGGTGCTGGGCAGGGGAAGCACGGAAGCCGGACACGGGGCCGGTCCCCCCAGGCCCAGGGCGGCCATTGCCGTGAGCGCCGGAGGAGCTGTCCGTGGTGCTGCGCGGCAGCGAGCGGATTTGGGCGCAGGGGTTCAGCCCGATGGGGAGCACTGATGGAGCTCGGAGCCACCGCTGCATGGGGCCAGAAGCCCCCCGCCCAAGGCCCCCCAACCCAGCGGCAGCCCCGGCCTCTGGGCAGGGAGGGCCCCCAGCGGGGCCACCTCGTCCCTCACAGGCCTCTCGCTTCGGCCCGTCTCTCTCTGCACGCAGGTCGAACATCCCGCAACTCCTGAGCCCCGAGGGCTGCCTTTCTCCCCGCACTCAGCCCCATGGCAATGAGGCCGCCTTGCCTGGGGGGAAGGGCACTGTGGGGCAAAGAGGCCGGAGCAAGCCGAATGGTGCAGAGAAGGGCAGTTCTGGTTGGGGGGCCCAGTGGCCAGGTGGACCCCGGGCAGGTGCCCGGCTGTGCCGAGCTGTGGCGCCCACCTCTGTGTACAAGCCTCAGATCCGGGGCCTGATGTCTGAAGATGCGGACTCAGTCTGGCAACTGGGAAGTTCGAGCTGTGACCAAACTCAAAACGGAGCCTCTGCTCTTTGTGCAAAGCGCTTGTTCGACTTTCCCATGTCGCAGGGGGTGGGGGGAGAGGGGGAGGAGTCTCCTGCCTCGAGGCTCCGGTACTCCTTTGTTACCTTGTCCCCACACCTGCGCTTGCCCTTGAGGGACGGCTTCCAACCCCCCCCCCGCCCCGTCCCCCCCCCCCCGTTCCACTCCTTTGGAAAATGCTCCGAAGACTCCAAAGATCACCTCGCATCCCCCCCCCTTCCCTCCAGTCCTGGACCTGCCTGACCAGCCCTGCTGCTGAAATATTTAATATGCTGCTCTTAAATTTAAAACTGCAAATCATTAATATTGCAAAAGTGGCTTTTGATATAAATGAAATGAAAGTATTAAAAAGAATAACAAAATGTTTAATCAGATCCAAGCTGGAGGAAGACATCTTAGATCTGATTTCCCTCTGCATGGAAAAGCTGAACCGAGAAGGTGGGGACTGAAGCCGAGGCCAGCCTCACGCAGGAGGAGCGCTCTGCCTGGAGCCAGCCTCCCCGGCCTGCTGCCACGGCGAGGGTACCAGGCCGGGGCCTGGGGGCTCGGGTTCCGGGCCCCACCTGGCCATGAAGCTGGCCGGGGGGATTTCAGACTAAGTCCTTCACCGAAGCCTCACCGGACTTTTAAGTGCACAAAAATGCCCCCCACCTAAAGAGCCGCCCACTTGGAGTGAGGCCTTCTAATCGAGCAGAAGCCGGATCGGGGAGGGACGGGGACGGGCCAGCACTAGGGCCCCCCTGGCACAGCAGGGCTCAGTCTTTTGCGGGGCGACTTTTCAGAGAAGCGGTGAGCCTGGGAGGGGGTTCCCCCTGCTCTCCCACTTCTGCATCTTTCCTCTGCATCTCCTGCTCTGCTCTGCTCCCTGCCTCATCTCCAGGTGAGATCGGGCAGGTGGGCACCTGCGGTGGTGGCAGGACGATCGCTGGGTCCCCCCACCCGGAGCCACCATTCCCCCCCCCCCATCTTTCCACAGCTGGCCAAAGCCTTTCCCTTTGAGCTCTTTCTGAATTACAGCGCCTCTTTCTGAGACAGGCTTGCAAGAGGCCGCCCCAGGCGCACCCGTTTTTCATTTTCGCAACTAAATCATTCTACAGTTTCGTTGTGGGATGGGGCGTGCAGTTCTTGCCTTGACGGAAAAGCAGGATCGCTGGGAAAGTTCCAACAAACTCTACTCTCCAAGGAGCGTGTCTTGCATGCTCCCCGTTGCCCTTTCAAGACCAAACTGCTTTGGACCTAAGCAGCAAGCAAGACAGTTGCAGGAAAAATTGATTCCCCCTGCTCCTGTAAGGACCGCGACTTAGCAATCCGTCGTGAACCTCCCAGAGAGCTTTGGCTGTTGGGCAGTATAGAAATTAAGATATAGATCGATGCGTTTAAGCTCTGTCTGTGGGGGCTGCGAGGGACGGAGGGCGTCCAGGTCCCCATGGATCCCAAACCGGTGTGGGGGCTGCCTCCCTGCAAACCCAGCCCCGCCACATCACTGGGAATAGCCCCGCAGTTCCAGAATTCCCTGCCCCGGCCCCCTCACCTTCTGCATTTTGCTGATGGTGCAGCACTGGGACACCGAGGTGATGTTGTGCTTGAAGCCGCTGGCCAGCAGGACGGAGTACTTGGAGGGAAAGGCGCTCGACTCGCAGTAGCCCACGCAGGCTTGCACTGTGCGGGTGCTGCAGCAGCTTCCTCTGCTGTCACTCTTAATGGTTACGTTGAAAGCTGGCGGGGGAAGGAGGCCAGGCTGAGATGCCCGGGAGCCACACGAGGCAGGGCGTGCCGCTGAGGGGCCCCTGGGCCATCACGCTTCTGACCGCCCCGCGGGCCCCGTTCACCGGCCAAAAGCTTCGCGGGGCCAAAGAGCCACTGCCACCCTCCCACGGGGCTCTCCCAGGATGCAGGTGACAGGTGAGGCGCACCCAGGACTTCTTCCTACTCCCATCAGGAGTGGGTCACGAATGGGTCTCCCGCTCAAGACCGAGCCGCTTTGCACTGGACTAGGGGAATGGTGGATCGGGGCAGGACGGATGTCCGGCTTCCGCTTCTTTGCCATCCAAAATGTGTCAAGGGGTAAAGGGTAAGAGGGCAACACCGGGGCTTCGGATCGGAGCAAAACGCCCCCCGATTTCCTGCACTCGCAGCCCTGCTCCCTTCGCACAAAGCCCTGCGAATTGGATGGGCCAAACGCTGCCCGGGACAACCCCCCCCCCCCGGAGGGTGCAAAGGGCTGGCCCCGGGCTCCTGGGCCTGACATGCAGGGCTGTGGGCTTCCTGCTGAGGAAGGGGGTGCGGTGCGGGCAAGTGCGCACGGGCCCCTCGAGAGTTTGGGGAGGGCGTGTGGACTCGGCATGCCCAGTGGCAAAGCTGGAATGTGGCCCCGGGGGGCAGCTCCTCCCTCCCCTTGCCCCCGCGTCGGCTTCCTCCCCGCAGCGCAGGGGACTCACGGTGCAGGTGGCAACCCAGTCTGGCGGCTTCATAGCCCCAGCCTCCTGTGGCCAGCAGGAGGGAGAGAACGGCAGCACAAGGGAGTGGTGCCATCACTGCTGGGGGTCTCTGAAAGACACGAGCGCAGTGTCAGCTGATCCTCATGCACAAGCAAAAAGCGACAAAGCCAGAGAGCATCACATAGTGGTTAGAGCATGGGACTGGAAACCGTGGCCAAAGCTCACTCCGTCACAGGGCCAGCCAACGGTTCTCGGGCCAGCCTACCTTGCAGGGTTGTTGTAGCTCTGGGGGGAACCAGATTCTGCCACAAGTTCCCCGGAAGGGCAGTGGGGTGGAAATGTGGCGGTTGGGTGTGGGGGCTGAGCTTTCCCCCAAGCACCTCCTGGTGGGACTGGGAAAGGCCCAAACCCCAGGGGAGCTGCAGCTGCCGGTCCGTGCGGGCCGTCCTGGGCCGGGTGGGCCAGGTCTGGACGCCAGTGCAGGCGGATCCCTGTGCTCCCAGTTTCGTCCTGGGGAGCTGATGTTTCCATGGAGCCATCCTTCTTCTGCATCAGCTCGAGGGAGCTTCCCCCTCCTGGACCACCAAGGAGTGGGAAGGCATCAGAAGAGCAAGCTATCTGGGGAGGGGGCAGCACGAGGAGGGGCCTGAAGTCTGGGCCAGGTCTCTCTGGGAGCTTCCAAGAGTGGCCTGGACGGGGCAGGGGAGCAGGTCCCTGACCCTGAATACAGCCCCATTCCTTCCGCAGCGGCTGGGAGTTGCAGCGTGGGGAAATTTTTCTCTGCTCAGAGCAGTCGCCTTTGTCTGACTATGAGAACGCTGATCCCATCTCTCCCCCGAACAGTCTCGCCAATATTGCTTCTCAAAAAAGCTCCCCTTTTGGGCTCCCCAAGGGCTGCAACAAACTGGTGGCTCGCGAAACCTCCAGGTTTCTTTCGCTTCCATCTCTTCAGGGTATGGCAGCCAGAAGCGCTGGCAAAGTTTGCGGCTTCCTCTCTCCTGCAACTTTCCTACAATACTTGGTTACTGTTTGCAGGTGGGCTGCACAGACGCCCCTTTGCACGTCGGCTCCCCTGCTCGATCCTATTTATTTGCTACACGGTTCCGCAGGCCGGGCGCTTTTCGGGGCTTGTCCCTACTGCGTTGCTCCGGGTGTGAGGACAGGTTTCCCCAAGGCCCCCCCCCCCCCCCGTGCTGAAGGTCAGCCTGGGTCACCACGCCCCCTGTGACCCTTCCAAGTGAGCAAACTGCTCTGCACCTGAAGGAGCTCCTCGAACCCGGCCGTGAAGCTGGGAATGCCGCACCGCTGGGGCGCCCCTGGACTTACCCACACTTGACGGGACTCAGGCACCCGAACCTCTGCTGGAGTGGTGTGGCTCTTCTCCTCCACTCCCGGGGGTATTTCTAGGCCCACGGCGCTGCCTCCTCTCACTTGGGTCCAGCCCCCTGCGGCTGGCTGGCATTTTCCCCATTTCCCCACCCACTTCTTAGCGAGGAGAGAGAAATTCTCATCTGCCCTTCCTGCTTCAGCAATACTTCATCCCTGCTTGGAAGCCCCCACAATTTGGAACGAGGAAAACGCCCCTTCCTTTAAGACAGAAAATGCAAGGAACAATGGCAGGTGTTGGAGACGCCCGAGAAGAAAATTTTAGGACTGAAACCTTTGCTTTGGCCTATTATTTTCATTAACCCTACACTGCTCAGAACGCACCTGGGAGAGAATCGGACGGACAGGAATGGCAGCAACTTCTCAGTTAGCCAAGCCCACCAAACACACGGAGCAGCGAGGAAAACAAACAGTGAACTTCCACAGAAACCGCGTTTTGGTACCTGTTCCTGAAAATATCTGCATTTTGGGAAATACTTCACAAAGGCAAACTCCGAGTGAGCGAAACCGACCGTTTTCCCCAGTTGCACCTAAAAGGACAATTCAAAGAACCACAACACTTCCACTAAACCACATTTCTGTTCCATGAAATTGTTCGCTGTCTGGAAAAGAATCCACAGTTTTTCAGTGCAGCCAGACTGAGGCCTGCTGTCTCACTTGACTGTACGAAGAGGCAGGATAAGCCACAACGCCTCCGCAAACCCTGGCAACCCGCCCCTACTCTGATGACCCTACCAGAGAATGCTACTCGTACGAGGGTCCATCTTATCCATCGGGGTGACATGTCGCACTGCCTGAGCCCAGTCAACAACCATGCTGCTCAGTCCAGACGAAACAGCAAACCATGATAGTTTATTGTGTCATGTGAACCCATGCTCGCAGAGATCATGGGCCGGATCATGGCTTGTCATTAAGCCATGGGTTATATCATTGTGGCAGAGCACTCTATGCCCGTATTGGCCTTATCAGCCACCTGCGGAGACACCATGGGCAACTCACAACCCGTTAGATGTCAAGGTCCTCATCGAAAACAATGGACGAACGTTGTCGTCATAGCATTGTCCAAACCCAGGTGAGAGAACAAAGCATGGAGAACAAACCGCAGCTCACAACCCGCTGACAAACCATGGCTTCTCTTCACGGGTTGTTTGTGGTTCCGCCGACTAGCCACCCTGAACCAGCTGTGACTTCAGTTTTTTGAGATAACTGTGGAAAGTTCAGGGAAAAATCACAGCTCTTTGGAGACAAACTTTCGCTTACATGCCCCTCAAAGCAGCAAGATGCACAACAGAGGATTCTGGGCCTTGGCTTGTGGAAGCTTGCTAAAATCTGATAGGCATTTGGCTTTCTTTGTAACAAAACATGATCCTACTTGTCTCCGAAGGTGCAGCACAAGAGTTGCCATAAGAAATATGCAAAATACAAGGAAATGTTCTGTCAGACCATTTAAGAAGACAATCCCATCAGAGAATTTTGGTCTGTGATGGTGGGGGTGGGACAGGAGCTTCCTTGCCCCACGAGGGACACACTGGGGTATTTCAGCTAGACATGTCTTGGTTGGAAAAAAATTAGCCCGCCTGTGAGGCCAGAATGAAGCTGAAATTCTGTCAGCTGTGCGCCCCACTGGGGGTCTCACTGGAGCAAGGCTGACGAACCTCTCCGGAGGGCTAAATTCCATTTCGGAGAACCTCTTGAGGGCCGGGAACAGCGCTGGGAGAGATCAACGAACGGCAAAAGGCACAGGAGAAAATACTGTGGCCGAGTGTTGCTCGCTCACCTGGAACGAGGCTTGCCATGTTTCGTGGGAATCACAGCGAGAGGGTGCCATTGTCGGGTGCTGCCCGACGGTACGTGATCTTTCGGGGAAGCACTGCGGCCCGTTGGTGGTCAGGAGAAGGGGCCGGGGCAGGTTGCAGGATCTCGGGGGAGCCCCCAGGTAGCTGGGTCTGACCCGTGGACCTGCTCTGCCCCGCTCCAGGCAGGCAGCGATTCTCCTTGGAGGGTGCTTGAGGACCAGCCAAGCCCGGAGCATCCCGTATTCGCCAGCAGGCAGACAGCTTGGCGGACGATGCTCGTGCCAAGCAATCCGACCCGCTTCGGGCTCTTAAGAGCCTTAAGTGGGCAATTATGTTGCTTCTGCAGTCGGCCTTCCAAACGGCCCTTTCTCCAGTTGGCATGGAGGTTACTCGGGGACACGGCCCTCCCCGCCTCCCCCAGGTACGGCTGCACCGCTCCAGCGGCCAGGGCTTTCCCCACATTCTGGCATGAGAGAAACTGGGCCCCCCGGCATGGAGCGTGGCACACCGGCCCATGGGGGGTCTGTGCTGGCAGCCCCCTTCTCCCCTCCTGGCCTGGCTCGCGGGCGTCTCTGCATGCCTGCTTTTTTCCGGCTGAGTGGCAGGACACAGAGGCCTTTGTCTGCCAACGGCTGCTGGGTTGGGCGCCCGTTTCCCACTGCACCTTGAGATGGGGAGACAAACCACAGATAGTTCAGCGGGTTGACACACCCCTAATGAGGCCACTGAGTCAGAAGGGGCTGTGGGCGTCAAATCCGCCAGCTCCGACATGCCTTCGGGGACACGAGGCTGGTCCGCGCTTGGGAAAACCTGCGCCGAAGGCTTCTCTCTTGCAGCCCGGCACCCGGGCCTCCTGGGGTGGGAGCTGCTCTCAAGGGAGCAGCCCTGCAGCCATTGCAGAGTTCAGACAATGCATTCGCACAAAAAGAGGACTGGGCAATTCGAGGAGGAAAAGGCTATCCAAGGCTACTAGTCCTCATGGCCACAGGCGACCTCCAGGACCAGAGGCAAGGGGTCTGTGCGCACCAGTTGCAGTGTGACCCAAGCACTGAGCTTGAACTGGTCCAGCACGGAGCGCCTGTTGCTCCCGTGCAACCCGCAAAAACCAGCTCGTGTGCACGGACGCAAATACAGACATTGCTCTCTTCACTGAAATACAAAGGAAGCCTGGCTGGGGGGTGGAAGGACTTGCCCGTTGCCCAGCTAGCTAGATGCGCCCTGTGAATATCAGCCATTTAGGAGTCTTAGTATCACGCTGGAATTGGACAGGGGACTTCAACCCCCAGCATTCTCGATCCTTGCCCTGCTGGCAGGGGCTTCTGGGAGCTGGAATCCACAACATTTGGAGAGCTACCTTCAGGAAACCCTTGAACAGTGACCCTCTTCTGGCATTTCTTCGAAAGACGGTGTAAAAAAAAAGACACTCGGCTATTCTCTGCTGTAGGCATGGGCCCCCCTTTAAATAAGGAAATAAGCATTTTGCCCGAGTTTGAGGGCACACGGTGTACTTCTGTGCACGGCACACATCCACCCCCAGGGGCCAAGAGAAGTTCCTGGAAGCGATAATGCAAGATAAGCTCTCGCTGTCGGTATTTCATGGGGCGATCGAGAAGACGCAGCTGTCTTCGATTTTCTTTGGTCTGCTCAGGGGAGAGAGAACCGGCTGGCAAGCAAAGCAAAGCCCCTTCAGAGACGTTCACCCAGAGACCGGCCCTTCTTGCAGCTGTGCCTGCGCTGCGGATTTTCGCCCTGCATAGGCTGAGTTTTTCCTAGCTGGTGCACGGCCTTTTATCCCAATCTCTGGTTTTACTACACAGAACTTTTGTCTGGAGTGGGGAATGCTTGGGAAGGCCCAGTCTTAAAACATGGCACACCAGTGCAGTAAAGAGTAAATCAAAATCCATCTCAGCAGCCTGGGAAAGTTTCTAATTTCTGGATATCCTCAATGTGTTGCTTAGGGGAATTGACCCGAGAGTTCCCTTCCGCCTTGCGGGCCAAGCGTTGCTTTCTCCCGGGGATGCCACACGTCAGCATATTTCCTTGACTGATGGTTGAAAAAGGGGCCTGATCTTAATGTTTTTTCTTGCTTTTCCTATTAGTGCCTGAACGGCTCCCCATTTCAGGATGTCTCCGGGAACTGGGGATGCTCCTGGGGACTCTTCTCTCAACCCAGTGGGGCCTGGATTAAAGCCATTTCTGTAACTCCTAGAAAAAGTGGAAGGCCCAGGCCCGGGAAAAAATCAGAGTTGGGGGGAGATGTTTTCACCAAGGGAGTCTGAAAGCCTGAACAAACCCAAACCCTCTGCTGATGGAGAAAGCGCCGTGTTTGGGCTTGCCCCAAGAATGAGCTCTCTGCACGCTTGCGGAGGGAGAAATGATCTAAGCTAGGAACAAAGATTAGGTGGGATTCCAGAGAAAAAGAGCAGAGGATTTCTTCCAAGCCCTGATGGCGTGTTTTTTCCGCACCGAGGCTAAAAGAGGAGACCGCAAATGGAAACACCTTCAAAGGATCACGCAAAGCGGGGAAAAGTTTCTGGGTGCAGCGCAGTCCAAGGAGCTGTGGCCGGACTTGGTGGGCCGCGATCGAGGGCCTTCCCTCCTTCCAGGCACCACCGCCAGCCTGGGGCACTCTGTGCCCTTCCTTACTTGGGCTGCCCTTACAAATCCCCCCACCCAGGTGCCACGGTGGGGGTGCCCAAGGGGGGTGGTTGCAGGTGGGCCAAGGGGCTTGCTTGGGAAGGCGCGGAAGAGGTCCTAAAAGGAAGGGAATCTGCCAGGCTCCCTGTCCCTTAACAACACAACTAGTGACATCAGCAACGCGAATGCCCGGTCCCAGCAGCCCGCCTGCAGCACGTGAGCCAGCCTGGGTGCCGGCAGGACACCTGCGCCCCTGGGCCTCTCGTGTGCCCCCACCCCAGGCACAGAGGCCTGGACATTGCCCCGGAGCCCCGCCTGGGCTTCACCAGGCTCACAGATCCCTCCCCCGCCCCACGTTCACGGCCCGGAGGCACTTTCTGTGCCCGCCGAGGGGGCTACGGAAGCGGCGCTGTGCCAGCCAGCCAGCCTCAGGCGGGATCAGGGCATTTATTCTCCGGGCCCCGTCCCGCCAGGCACCCGCGTTCCCGCACGCCGTGCCGCTGGCTAGGCCTCGTCATGGATGGTGTAGATGACCAGGTCATTGGGGAGGCTGCTGTGGGGCAGCTCCGTCCTGCGCCCGCCGTCTCCGGAGCGCCAGCCGGGGTCCAGGGCGACCTTGTGCTTGCGCAGCCGGTACAGCAGCGTCACCAGCTGCAGCTCCATGCGCGCCAGCGACTGCAGGCTGGATCTGATGGAGCAGCCCTGCCGCGGAAGGCAGGGCACGTGTCCAGGGGGCTGGGCACAGTCGATGACCTGTGCGGAAGAAGGCAGCGTGGACGGGGGGTCAGGAGCCAGCGTCTCCCCCGGGGAGGTCTGCCGCTTCCACCCACAGACGACCGTGCACACATCGGCATATTCTAACCGGCCAAAGTTTCTCTCCCCCAGGGGTCTCCCGCGGTCCCCATCTGTAAAATGGGAGCGTGGCGTGGGAGACGAGGACGCTTGATTTTATGGGGGAAGGGCCTTGGGCAGAATGGTCGGACGGCTGGAGGTGAACCCCAGGAAGCCAAAAGCCGGGCCCTCCCTGGGGATCCAATCCAGGGCCTGGGCCTTCCTCCCGCAAGGGTCCCTGGACTGCCGAGCCTTGGGGCGGGGGCCTCTTCAAAATCTGGGGCCCCGAGTGAAGGCTCCGGCCTGGCAGGGCAGATTCCGACACTGCCCCGGTCTCCTCCTGCCCACAAGCGCGGCGTTGGAGCCGAGCTGCCCCAGTGCCACTGCCCGGCCACCCCTTCTGCCCAGACCCCAGAGCTTCGCACTGCAGCGTGCAGCCGCGTCTTGCGGCCGAGGGACCTCCCTCCCTGTGAGTGCTGCAGCTCGGCTCCGAGGGTCGAGGGATGCCCGGCGGGGGCAGGTGGGGGTGCCACGTCCTGGCCGATCAAGTCGCGCTGGGTGGCATCCCCGGGAGCCCCGGTCCCGCTGCACCACGCCCCCTCGTCCCCCAGCAGCCCAGGGCTGGCCGGAGGCCCCGGGGTCGGGCACACACCTCCGGCTCCTTGCACGCTGCAGGGGGGCACGGCTCCACGCTGAACGCATTCAGAAGCCACACCAGGCCGTAGAAGCCCACCAGGCTGGCCAGCCACATCAGCAGTCGCTGCCCCATCCCCTTGGCGGGGTCCAGACTCCAGAACGGGCCCTGGTCGCCCGGGGCCTCCACGGGGGTCCTCTCCCGCCCGCCCAGAGTCCGGATGGCGGCGGCATGATCCAGCAGACAGCAGAGGGAGACGGCGAGGAACCCGCAGGCCTGGACCATCTCGACCCACTTGCTGCCCACGTGCCCTGGGCCAGGCCAGGCCACCGGCACGGGGTGACATCACAAACCCGGGGGCAAGTGAGGCGGCCTGGGATGGCCTCCCGGCCTCTGGCCACTGCCTTGGCTGGGAATCGGGGCCGACAGGGCCACTCCCATGGGGCTGGTCTCTCGAGCCCCCGGGGGGCCGAGGCATCTCCGAAGGGTCAAAACAACGAAACACTATCACAACCACGTGGCTGAGCTCACCCCTTGCCTCCCCTGCTGAGATCCAGGGAGAATTCTTGTGTTGTGCCATGCTTAGGGTGCCAGATTGGGACCTGGGAGGTTAAGGTTCTAGTCCCCATGAAGCTCGCTGGGTGACTTGGGGCCAGTCACTGACAGTCCTGGCAGGGTTGCTGTGAGAATAAATTGTAGGGGAGGCAGAAAGCGCGCGAGAACAAAAAGCCGGCTAAGCCAGGGAGCTCGGAAACACCAGGGAGAATCGATACTGCCTCTATGTGGCCGCATGTTTTCAAAATAAAAGAAAATTGCTCGTTAAATGCTAAGATGTCACACAGAACTCAGTGAAGCTTCGTTTGGCCCTCGTGAGCCGAATTCACACCACGGGCCTTCCCAGCCTGGACCCAAGCCTTCCTAATGGGATGGTGCCTATGCTTTTAAGTGCAAGCCCCATCATCCCCAGCCAGGCTGGCTGGGGCCCTCTGATGCACGGGAGGGGACCAGGCTGCGTAAGGCTGTTCTGATCAATGGGAGCCTCACTCGTTGCTTGAAATCCTCAACCTGGACCAGGTTGCTGAACAGAAAACTGGAAAGGCAGAGGAAGACACTCCTGGGGAAAAGCTTCATGCGAAGGGCGCATTTTCCTGCTGCCGTGAAACCAGGAAAGACGCCTCCGCAGGGCCTCTCTTGCCCTCCGCTCCAGCCCAAGCCTGCGGGGGCCCTTCCTGCACACCCGCGGGGATCAGCACCACGGACAGGGCCTCCTCCGGGCAGCCCCTCCGGCCGGGGCAGGGCTCTGCATCCGCCCAAGGGGCTGCGGTGGCAAGAGCGGGCCTCGTCCGGGGTGCCCCGCGTGGGAAACGGTCCGCTGGCTTTCCTTTTCCCAAGGTGCAAATAAATCATATTTCTGCATTTGAACATGTCGGCCTCAGTGTGCGTTTCACTCAGAGTGGTGCCTGCCTGATCCGTTAAATGCCAGAAAACGCACCAGGACATGGGGCCATTCTCTTTCTCTCAGCATGCTTTGCTTTGGCTTCCCGCCCCTTTCTCTTCGCATCCTCCTGGTTTTATTTATTTACTAATTAACCCGCCTTTTTTCCTTTCCGGGCAGCTCCCCTAATCCTCCTCCTGCTGATCCTCAAAATGACAACCCTGCAAGGTAGGCTGGGCTGAGAGTCCAGGACTGGCCCACGCGCACCCCGAGGGCTTCCCGGCTGAGTGGGGACTCCAACCGGGAGCCGCCGGGTCCTCAGCCCCCCATGAGCCCCTGCACTGCACTGCACTGCACTGGCTCTCGTCGCGTGCTCTGGGCAAGTTTAATCCTCCCCCTGCTCAGCTCTCCACAACATCGTACACGGCCAGGTTGAAGGCCCCGGGGCGCCCCTTCGCCTGCTGGCACTCGGCCGCCCTGCAGCTGCGGTGCCGCACCAGGAGGCCAGCCTTGCGCCTGTGCACCAGCGTCATCAGCTTGACGATCTCCTGCTCCATCTGGGACAAGGCAGAGGCCAGGCGGCTTTCCAGGTCCTCGGGATTTGCCGGCGCCGGCTCCTGGGGGAAGCGGGAAAGCATGGTCAGGCCGAGCGCGGAGGGGCTGGGGCGTAGCGGCACTTGGGCTCTCGGGGAGGGTGCCCAGGGCTCTTTCACCAGCCGGGCCGCCCGGACTTCCCCTTCCCTTCTGGGCTTAGCGGCCACCCATCTCCTTCCCTGTGCGCCTGCCCGCCCCTTAAGATCCGGGCCTGAGCGCCTCCTTTGGGAGCCCCCTTGGAAGAAATTAGGAGGGTGGCTACCCGGAGGAGGGCCTTCTCGGTGGTGGCACCCCAGCGCTGGAACGCCTTCCCCAGAGAGGTTCGCCTGGCGCTGACTCTTCATTCCTTTCGGCGCCAGGCCCAAATCTTTCTAATTTCCCAGTATTTGAAGGTTTGATTTTAATGTGGGGTTTTACCATTTAGCGATTAATTGACGGGCTGCATTCCACCCTGTTTATTGTAAGACTGTCCCAAGACCTCAGTAGTGGGCGGGATATACATGTTTTAAATAATAAAATGAAATCCAGGGAGCAGGTGCCTTTTAAATTGCTCCCACCTGAGCTTTGCACTTTGATTTCCTGCTCAAATGTATATTGAATGGTTATTTTCTATCAAGGATGTTATTGTTTCTCACCTTTGGATTTGCTTTTTTATGCAAAAACAGGATATGCATAACAATTAAGAATTGAAAACGTTTTCGATGTCAAACTGTTATATTTTGCTATTTTGGACTGTTAAGCTGGTTTAAATTGGTATTCTAAAGATTTATATCATGCTTCGTTGTATCTTTTCATGTTTTGACTAATCGCTGTGAACCACACAAAGAGCTTTGGCGGTTATGCGGTACAGAAATGAAACAAATTAAATAAAAACAGAAAACAACTTGAAGCAGGGAAGGATGTGGCAAAATAGGCATGGATACAGCATATGGATACAACTTGTGGTTCATTCCCTGGCAGCTACAGGGAGATCAAAGCCAAGCAGATCAAGGCAGTTGGAGGATGTAAGTATCTTTGCTGATAAACAGGGCTTCCACTAAGCACAGGGCCAGATAAGACCAATATTGGCTATTCCTCTGTCCAGAGAAGAATTGTTTTAGTGACGTGTTCCCGAGAGACTTTAACCTACACAAAGGCACACATCTGTCTGCCTCACAACCAGCAAGTCCTAGATCTATAATACTAGATTCAAAAAAGCCACAAAAATTCGGTAACAGTTATTATATCTACCAGATTTGTAACTACGGTTCCAGAATTTTGCAGCAAAACCAACGTTTCAAATTCCATCAGATCTCTAATGACGCCCCTTCCTGACTGCATTTCCCTTTTCAGTCTTGAGAGCAACTGAAAGGAGAAAACCATTCTATATTTTTCCTTCATCTTTTTTTTTCAAGGCTTAATTCCTCTTCTTTGGAATTAATTCTGGAATTTTGTGTCAGCTCATTTTTGATAGGTTCCTTGGCCCACAAAAAGGATGTAATTCCTCTTCCAAATCTGCCGTTCCCAATTTTATTAATCTTTCAGCAGGATTTGCAATCCAGCCGGTCATCGAAACCAGACCAGCCGCGTGATTTTAGGACGCTGTGTTCTAAAATTTTTTCACATTTTGTATCGTTAAACCATCCCGAGACTTCGGCAATGGGACAGTCCAGCAAAGTTTTAAGTGAGCAAATACACAGTTACCACACTTCCTCAGCTACTGGGGGCCGCGCCTGGAGAGCCACTCGAGCTGCCGCTGCCCCGTCGGCCCCGCGCCGCGCAACCCGCCCCCCCCCCGCGCGTGTCCCGGGGCGGGCACCTGGGCCTCCTCCGCCGCCCCCGAGCCGGGCATCTTGCCCAGCCGCCGCAGGGCAAACAGCAGCAGCCCCAGCAGCAGAGCCACCGAGCAGGCCAGCGCCAGGGGCTCCCAGGCCAGCGGCAGGGGGACGCCTTCCTCCGGGTTGCCCGCGGCCAGCTGGTACCCTGCGGTGCCTCCTCTGTGGAGCCAGAACACCCCTGGCAGCTGCTGCATGGCGAGCGCTACGAGTGAGTGGCAGCCGCCCCCCCGGGCACGGGTGGCCATGGCCCGTGACTTCACAGATGGGGCAGTCCTCATTGGCCGGCAGGACCGGTGACCTGGGGAATGGAGTGTGCCAGGAGCCCCGTGGGCCGGATCTGAGCAAGGGCCGCCTCGCCTCGTCGGCGGCCTCCTCCCACCAGCACCGCTGGCCGCCTGACCAGAGCCACCCAGTGACGGGAGCCCAGTAGCCCAGTCCCTGGCCCAACATGCTCCGGTCTTCCTGCTCTCGCCTCCCAGGCGTCTCTGCTCCTCTCCGGCTCCCCGACCGCTTTCGGCCACCAAGGACATTGGGCACTGGGTCAGGTCAACGCCCATCAAGCCCAGCCTTTACTCCCAGAGGCCAACCAGCCGCCCACCGGAAACCCACACACTAAGAGGCAATGGGGGGGGGAGGGGGCTGCATCCGTGTGACTCAAACAACGCCCAAGCCGTACTGCATACTTACACCTGCGCCCTGCCAGGATCTGGCCGGGAAGGATCGAGCCCTGCACAAGGACTCCGGGAGAGCAAGCGCATCGCTAGACTCTGGAGTGCTCTGGGGAAAGGAGCGGCCCGTATTTTAAGCCCAGTGCAGGCCAGCGGTACCGGTGCTCGGGGAAACTCCTCTGCAAAGCGCCAGCAAGAGCAGCCAGGGCCGCGCCGGGCAGAAGAAAGGACAATTCCGCTCAGAGATCGGGCCGGGCCGGTGCAGGATTGCTCTCTGCGGGTGCCCTGCTAGAGAGAGAAAGGGGTGCCGCTCCTTTCATCATTTGAGGCGCAATTTGATGCGTGCTCAGAGGGAAGAAGTCCCCCACCTCTGTGCAGAAGGCCTTTCCCCGCATCTAAGCCTCCTTCCACCCGGGAAATGTTCCCTGCTGACATGCGGGTTCGGCTACATGATCATTGGGCGCAAGTTTCTTCAGCAGCCTCAGTTGCCCTAGACTGTAGAATGGGTGAGAGGTGCGGGGGGGGGGGACGCCTCGCGACCCTTCGTCCTCGGGTGCGCTTTTGGGCACCTTTCTAGCCGGGGCCCTGGGCGATCCACGAAGCTGAACCTCTGAGTGGTGCCGTCCAGAGGTGACTTAGGGAGGCGCGGGGAGACGGAGGAATCGGGACCTTGGGCCGATGTGGCCCCCTCCCCACACGCACCCAGGGCAGGAGAGACCCCGGCGCGTCCGTTCACACGCGCAACGGCGCTCCCTTTGCACTGGAGCGCGGCAAACGCGGCATCCGGGCCGCGCGCCCCGGCCGCTTCTCCTCCTCTGGAATAAATAGCTTAGGGGACGAATGTGTCGGCCCCCTCGGCTCACGTGACCCAGAAGAAGCCCAACATGGCGCAGTCCTAGATAGCTTCAGCCTCGCCGAAGCCCAGGAGAGAGGTTGAGGCAAGGGGGGCACCGACCGCGCAGCACAGAGGAGACGCCGCCAGGAGCCGGCCGGTGAGTGGGGGGCCCGCGGGGCTCGTCCGGCGGGGCGCCAAGCGCGGGGCGCGACCCCCCCCCGCCTCCCCGGTGCAGAAACCCACGCCTGGCCAGCGGGTCCCGGGGCGCCCGGCTGAGCCTCCTCGCGAGGCTTCCACCCTGGCTACCTTCCGGATCGGGCCCCTTCCCGGCCCCCGCACACGCGCCGACTCCCCCCGGGCCCCGGGCGGGCGCGAGGCGTTTGGGCCAGTGGCCACTGGGAGCCCTCCGGCCCTCCGATCCCCCCAGGGGCCTTGAGCGCCCGCGCCGCGCTTCGGGCACGGCCCGGGGACCCTCCGCCCGCAGGCGCGTGCCGTGTGCCCCTGCGCGGGGCTGCGGAGGGCCCCCGACGCGTCTCGCGGCTGCCCCTGCCCGCAGGACCGAGCGGGGGTGCAGCGGGGCAGCCAGTGCGCCTCGGGGGGCCTCCGGGTCCCCCCATCTAGAAAAGCAGCCAGCGCGGCGCTGGGAACCTGCCGCAAAAGGCAACGCGGCGCCCGGAGGAGCTTCGCAAAACGGCCGGGGGAAGCGATCCGGCGTGAGCGCTCGCGATTTCGCGCGGGGGGGAGGCCTTTTTCTTCCTCTCCCACAGCCCCCCAGCCCAGCCGGGTCCCTCATCCCACAAAGCGGAGGGAGGCGGCTTCGAGACAGAGCCCTCCCCCAGAGCAGGGTCAGTTCCACCAAATTTCCTGTTGGCCACCGGCATGAACCTGGGAGGGAAGGTCGCCAATTCATCCCCCAGGCTAAAGGCCCCCTCCAGGGCCAGAGTCGGGGGGGGGCTTCGCCCACCACCACCAGGGCACTTGGGTGGGAAGGCCTGTGGATTTCCGCTGAGCAGCAGATTGGCCTCTGCGCGGACGTGTGGCCGGGCTAGAGGGACCCTGCTCGGTTCCGCAGGCCTTTCCCTTGGTGGATCCAGTGCAGCGATGGGCGAACGCTTGCTGGGGGCCTACTCTGACACTTGGCCCGGTTTTCCTGCACCTCAGTCCATCGGCACCCACCCAGGCCCTCGGGAAACGGCGGTTCCCTGAGGGGCGGGTGGCGCAAAGGGCCACCGGGTCCTGAGCCAGCCCCGTGGCACAGGCAGCAGCGGCTTCCACGGGCTCCGGCAGGAGATTCCCCGCCTCGCCCAGCAGTCGTGCCAGAGCCGCCCGGTGCGGACCCCCTTGCACAGACGCGAGGCACGTGCGTGGCACTCCGGCGGGCTCACCCCTGCCTGCCTCCCTCCTCCCCCAGGTGATCCCTGGCAGGGCCCGCAGCGCCACCATGGTGAAGATCTTCGTCGGGGGACTGTCCCCCGTGGTCACGGCGGAGGAGCTGCGGAAGCTCTTCCAGCAGTACGGACAGGTCAACGAGTGCGACATCCTGAAGAACTTCGCCTTCGTGCACATGGAGAAGGAGGACGAGGCCCACCAGGCCATCAGCGCCCTGCACAAGAGCGAGTTCTACGGGGCCCACCTGACGGTGGAGTACGCCACCTCCAAGATCCGCAACGCCACCAAGATCTACGTGGGCAACGTCTCGGCCAAGGCCACCACGTCCCAGGTCCGGCAGCTCTTCGAGCGCTTCGGCAAGGTGGTGGAGTGCGACATCGTGAAGAACTACGCCTTCGTGCACATGGCCAAGGAGCGGGAGGCCATGGACGCCATCCTGAACCTGAACGACACGCCGCTGGAGGACCAGAAGATCTTCGTCACCCTCTCCAAGAGCAACAGCTCCCTCCGGGCGGCCAAGGGGGCCGCCTTGGCCCCCGCGGCCCCCGCCACGCCCAGCTACTACTTCTCCCGGGGACGGATCCCTACCCCGGCGCCCGCCTACACCCCCTACTGTCCCCGGGCCTGGTACGACAGGGAGTACTGCGACCACTACTCCTACGAGCTGTACGACCGGGCCCGCGCGGCGTACGACCGGGCCCTGCCCGCCCCGACTGCCGCGGCCGCCTACCGGGAAAGAAGCCCCGTGGGCCGGCGGACGGCGGCCCCCGCCACCGTCATGGCCCAGTACACTGACCCTTACGCGGCCGCGGCGGCCGCGGCGGCCACGGCGGCCGCCAACCAGACCTACAGCCAAGCCTACAGCCAGCCCGGATACGCGGCCGCGGCCGCCGCGGCCGCCACGTACTCGCAGTACAACCTCGGCACGGCCTACAACGTGGCCGAATACTACGAGCGGTACGCCAGCACCTACACCGCGCAGTACGCCCAGACGTTCTGAGGGACCGGCACCCGCCCCCAGTAAGTGCTGGAGATCCTCGGCGCACCGGGACGCGGGGAGGGGCGGGACGTGGGGAGGGCCGGGCTTCGCACCCCCGGCCCCGGCCGCCCCGCGTCGGTGGGGAGAGCGCTTCCGAGAATGAGCGCGGCTGCCCCTCCGGCGCTGCAGCGGATGGGCCGGGGCTCTGCAGCCCGTCGGCGCGGAGCAGCCTCACGGGAGGGTGAGCGACCCCCGAGCTCGGGGGCCTGGCCCACCCGCCACTGCTCCGTGGGGCATTCCCCACCTCCGGGGCCTCCCCCTCCCTTCAGAGCAGGCGAAGCGCCCCAGAGGCTTTGTGGCTGGGGCCAAGCGGCTTCAGCGACGATGCAGGCAGGGGCGCGCGGGGTGGGGGGGGTCTGGGCCCGGCCCCACCGATTTCGGCCCCCGGAGAGCGCGGCCCCCGGAGCCTCTTTGAAATGGAATCCGGCTCCCGGGCCGAGAACGGCTCTCCCTCTCCGTAGTCTGCCGGCTGCGTGTTTGTGTGTCTGTGCGTGTTTGTGTGTGCACACCTGAGCAAACACAACTAAACTGTGTAGATTTCTTTGCAGGCTCCCGGGCAGCACCGGCTGGTGTCTCTGAAGCTCTTTGCAGAGCACTGACCTGCACTGGTATTGTACTCCAGCCTCCTGCCCAGGTTGGTGACGCTGCATTTTGTGGTTCTACCGCCCCCCCCCCCGTCCCTCCCCTCCTGGCCCCTTTCTCCCCCTGCCCTCTTCCCTTGTTCTTTTCCGTTCCGATCCGGTCGTAACCTAAAATCACCCCCTGCTTCGAAGAGCCGTCGCCTGCCTCACCAACCCCGCCGTGCGAACCCGCGATGGTGCCGAAGACGGTTTTGCTTGTAGAAATGTGTCCGGTTTTTCCGAACTCTGTCCTTACGCCCCAGGCTGCCGGCATCCGCAACCCTCTGCGCAGTCGCCGGCCCGTTCTTTGCTCGCTCCGTGTCTTTGCGTGCCCGGGAGGGTTCCTTTGCTTTGCTGTATTCTTGGGTAACCTTTTTAATTTTTTTGTTTTCGTTTTCGCCTTTGTACAACTGGTTAACAGAGTTTGTTCCTGTTGCGGCAACTTGTTGGCTTTTGATTTTTTAAATGTTGACGATTAAACGGCTTTTACAGAACCTCCGCCTCTCGTCGTCAAATCAGCGTTGCTTTCACGATCTCGCCCTCCTCCGCCTCGGCCTCCTCCGCCTCTCTTTCTGCATGGGAGATCCGGCTGCTTTCACCTGCTGCGATTTCCGGCCCCTGGTGTCCGTGCCGCATTCCCGCCTCGGTTAACTTCCTCCCCTCCTTGTGCTTTGCGTAAAGAGAGACCTCGTCTTCCTCTCAGCTCTGCTGCCGTCCTCACTAATGCCGTTTCAGGAGAACTTGCGCAAAATCCAGCGCCGCCGTCCGGCGCCGTTTCCGGACCCCGTCTCTTCGGCTGTGCCTGTTGAAAGCTGGGGCTGACCCTTTTTAACGCTGTTTTCCCCCCGTTGGTTCTCTCTTTCTGTGGACAGCTGTTTCGGGAAGGAGCGAGGGGATCGGGGCATGGTCCACACGCGGGCGGAGCTGACCCGAAGGAACGCTACCTCCCGTCCTGCCCTGCGGCCATCCGACGCGACTCGGGAGCCTCACCGGGCCACCCTCCGAGCGACCATCCAGCTGCTCCCTGCTTCCCTCTTCGCTCTGCTCCTAGAGTAGGCGCTGGAAAGAGAGGTGTGGTGGGGGGGTGGCCGGCCGGCGGAGGGGCCCCTGGCGCAGCAACGGGGTCCCGCGAGGATGCCGTGTTGGGACCTGGCTTCTCTGCCCGCCCTGCTCCGCAGCCCTCCGTGGGCCGCACGGTCTCTGGGGCAAGCGCCCCCCAACATTGCTGCTTGGGCAGGAGGGCCTCCCCACCGTGGGCACTGGCTCCCGTGCCCCACGCTTTCTTCCACTGGGGAGAAGACACGGGGGCAGGTGAAGAGCGTGCCTCCGCCGCCCTTGCTAGCCCGCGGCTACGGATCCCAAGGAGCTGCCTCCCTCGCCCCCAGGCCACGGAGTGGGATGAGGCGGGGCGAGGGGAGGGTCCTGTGCGGGACACAAGCCTCCGCGGGCTGGACTGGGCCCACGAGCTCCAAGCGGCTCGCCTCTGAAGCAGGAGGCACTGCGGGAAGTGGGGACCAATGGTTTCTGCTCCTGGGCGGGAACAGCAAATGAGGATGATTGTTGATCTGCTGGGGCCGAGAGGTTACGGGCCGGCAGGCCTGCCTCGCGGTGGGAGGAGGGCTGGGCTGGCAGCCCGCAGCTGCAGCGCACAGGGAACGCACGGAACCGAGCCGCATGTTGCATGCAGACGAGCCCGTTCGCTGGGGCATGCGTTTCGTGGGGACTGGGCCTCAGCCGCAGACTGGGCTCCTGTGGGCATCCTTCGGAAGAAGCCCAAAAGTCGTGCAGATGGGCGCGCTGGGCGTTGCAGGAGCTCGCTTCTGTCTGGGGCGCGCACGCCTGCCCCCAAAGGAGCCCCAGGAATCTCTCTCCTTGCAAGCAGCTCAGTTCAGCTGAGCTTCCCCGGCCCGCGGCCTTCCAGCGGCATGGGCTGCGACTCCCAGTGTTCCTGCGCACTGGTCCGGAGGCAGGATGGGGAAGGCAGGCCCAGGGAGTCCGGGGCTAGGGATTCCCCCTCCAAAGAGGGGGCTGGGGGCTGATCCAGGGCAGGCGCGGGCAGCCTTGCGGGCCACGGACGCATCCAGCCGGTTTGAGAAGCGGTCCCGCACATCCCTGCCAAACGGCAGTGCGGAGCAGCCCAGGTCAGCGGCTCGCAGGACTGGCAGGGGCGGCCCTGAGCCCCCAGATGCAGCGGCGGCAGAAGCCAGTCCCGCAGCGACTCCAGCTCTGGGCAGGGAAGTGTCTGGATTAAAAAGAGGAAGGGGGTCAAGGCACGTCGGAAAGGTACCCAGCGGGTGCCGGAGCCCCGTCCGCACGGCCTCCCCGGGCATGGCAGAGGCGCAGGGAGCCGTCACGGGCACTCACAGATCTTGGCCGCATCCTCTAGCGGGGGGAGGCTTTCGGTGAAGCGTAATTTAATTGGTGTTTGTCAGAGCCCCTTTCTCCCACGGGGAACCCCACGCGGCTCACCACATCCGCCTTCTCCCTGTTACGTCCTCACAACAACCCAGAGAGGCAGGCTAGGCAGAGAGCCGGAGAGCGTCATGGCTGGCTGGGGACCGGAGTCCGGCCGCCCCAAATCCCAGTCCAGCGTTCTAACCACCACATCACACTGGCTCTCCACAACCACAGTGGCCACGTTGGCTGGGGATGATGGAGTTCTAGTCAAGAATGGAATTACAGTTCTATCCCTGCAAGGAACCCAAGGCGGGTTACAGAATCCTCCTCTGCTGCATTGATCCTTCACAACAACCCTGTGAGGTAGGGCAGGCTGAGAGTCTGTGACTGGCCCAAAGTCACTCAGTGAACTGCATGGCCAACTGGGGTCTAGAAACCGGATTCAGTCCAGTGCTCTAACCACTAGGCCACACTGGCTTTATATTCAGACTCCTTGCCCAAATGGGAGGCCCAACGGCTTGAGCAGCGAGGTGAGCGCTTTCTGCCCCACTGAGGGTAATCTTGAAGGCCTTGGTGGCCCCCAGCTCAAGGACGCCCAAAATGCCCCCCCCCCCCCGACAAAGTTGGCAGATCCAGAGCTAAACCCAGTTCCGGGCACTCTCTCTAGCATCCTTCATTTGTTTAAACAGTCTGCTTTAAAACATTTCTAATCTTGTCTACAAAAACTGCTATTAAGTCCGCAGCAACGGCATTTAGCATCAGGGCAGCAGACGCGAAATACAGTTAACGGGGACTGAATAGCAGCTTTATTTATTCCTGTACTTTATTCCTGTCGTCGCGTTGAAAATGCAAAACTGCACATGCTCAGAGGATGCCTTTATACGGTAGCAAATGGGGGGCTTGTGGTTCACTGTAACGCTGAGGAGAAATTTCCGGTGTGCCTTGCTGTTAAAGGAATGCGTGGGTGTCTGCCCCGCACCATAAGAGCACAAGGACCGGGGCTAAAATTCCCGAGCGGGCCAGTGCCTGGAACGCGGGGTGAGGCTGGGCACGCCATGCCGCCTGCCTTGCCCCCCTTCCTCTGCCTGAGGCCTGCAGAACCGTTGCCCTGCCTCTTGCGCCTTCGCCTGGCTGCCCACGCCTGGCAGGGTTCAGACGGACCACCCCGGAGGGCTGTGCGTGGGAGGAATAAGCCACCGGTAAACTGCAGCCTGTTGTGTTGTCTGAACTTAACTGCGACAACCCACTATGCAAATATCGAAAGACTCACAGTTCAGCAATAACCCATGGGTTCTCCTTGACCCTGGCCTGTGAGCGCAGTGCAGTTCAGACGACCCACTAGCCCACGGTTCCACAAGCCACCGTTCGGTGACAACCAGAGTCAGCCCTCAAGGGCGGGTTAATGTCTTGTCTGAACCCAGTGGCTCCGGGGCTTCCAGGGACGCAGGCAAAAGCGGAGCTCGGCTGAAGTAAGAGGAAGGAGCCCTCTGTGGGTTTCTGGGGGGCCTCTCCAGCCTGCCCCCAAGCCAACTGCCCCCCCCCCCCAGCTTGCTGTGGTCCTTCCAGCAGGACTCGGCTCCAGGGCTGTGATAAACCGAGGTGAGTCGCACTTTTTCTGCTCGGTCGGGTTTCGGGGTCCATGGCCGGCCTTTCTCCGTGTCTGGGTGGGACTGAGCTTGGAGGTGCCGGGGGAACACGGCTGGGGGGACCCCACAGCCCCTGGGGGTTCGGCTCCAGGGCACCTCCACACATTGTGCTTTTTATATGTAACATCTTTCCAGACCGCTTTCAGGCAGGAGTCCTCCAGGGTGGAGCACGGCCACGAAATAGACGGAGACGGTAATAAAGAGAGCAAACATGTCTGCAGAAACAGCCAGTCCCAGAAATAAAACTGGGGACGGGTTCGGTCCCGCTCTGCGCACACTTGGCCTGGGGGCACCTCCTCCACGCACCGGCGGGCTGCCCCTCGGCCTCCCGGGGGAGCGTTTTCCAGTAAAAACCTTATTTCTGCCGGCTGAGTGGTGAGGGACAGACGCCCCGCGGCAGCTTCCCTAATTCCCCCCAGCAGAGCCGCGCCGTGCCCACCGTGTGCCGGAGGCCGAGAAACAGACGCCCCGTGCTCACTGGCCGGGCATTCCCATTCCTGCCCATGGGCCCCACGGCGGCTCCCTGCGGCTTCCCTCCCAGCCCCCAGGCGAGGAGTCGGCGCAAAGGACACACGAGCCGCACCACGAGACGGCACGCACGGCGGAGGCCCGGCTTGGCCCTTCGGCACGGAGAAAACCCGGGCGGGTGGGGGTGCCGGGGGGACATCCAGGTTGGGGGCTGACAGATGCCACTGAGACGGGGACAGGCCCCTCCCTAGGGCCAGAGGTGGCCCTGAAGACAGCCAGCGCCATTTGGGGCGGCTGGAGGGTCACGCACAGAGAACATTAAAACATCTTTTCTGACTTATTCCAGCTGAGTGGTGGTGTTTTTCTGTCTCCTTTGACTGCTGGTGGAATGCGCCCCTGATCTGGCTCTGCAGCCCATAATGCACGGGCTGTGGCGGTGTGGCAGTGCCCGGGGGGTGGGCGGCTGGGGATCGGGTCAGGAGACCAGGGCGCAGAAACCACGCAAGATACAAGCACGTTCCAGGTCGGGCAGGCAGAGCAAGGTGAGCGACGGAAGTGCGAGGGGGCCGAGCCAAAGAAAGCCAAGCAGCCAAAGCCAGTCGGGAGCCGAGCGCCAGGGAGACAAGCCGAGGAGACGCGGGTACCTGGGTCTGGAGCGGGAGCAGGGGGGCCGGGCAGGAGCAGAAGCGGAGGCAGGAGCAGGGCGACAGGCGGTTCCCGAAGGCGCAGGAGCTCCAGGCACACCAGAAGCCTCTGGAGGGAAGAGCCAGTTCTGCTGCAGCACCTTCCTCGGCTCCCAGGTGCTGCTCGTAACATCGCAGGTGGCTGCAATTGACTGACTGGGCCGGGCGTGCGCTCGCCAGGGCTGCTCTGCCGCCTCCTGGCCAGGAGGGGGAGCCCTGGCCCCAGCCCGGCTCTGACTGGCAGCTGCAGCTCTCGGGGATTGCGGGGGGGGGGGGGATTTTTGGTCGCCTGCCTGTAGATGCCAGCTTTGAACCCGGGACCGTCCACATGCCGAGGCAGGGTTTTGTCACCCAGACTTCGGCTCCGTCTTTTAGAAGAGCAGAGCAGTTTTGGGATGGGTGCTTGGAACCAGGCTCTCCCCATCGATGGAATTTTTTGTTTGCTCGGAAGAAGCTTTGGGGGAAGTTTCGGGATGGCGGCAGTTCCCCAAGAGAAAGCCACCGCCCTGCACAGTTCAGCTGCTTCACCACCACACTCGCCCGCCCGCCTTTCCCTTCCCAATTTTATCTCTTGGCACATGGTTGTAAAGGAGAGAATCCGGACACGAACGGCTCTTTTGCAAGCCTCCGTCAGGGTCCAAGCTGGGTGCACGCTTGCCGTGAAGCCAAGCGGGGGTTCATGCCGCCTTCCCCAGTCTGGTGTGGTCCAGATGGGCTGGCTGTAATGCCTGCTATCTCTGGCCAGGGTCGACAATGGCCACAGCTGATGGGAATTGTAGTCCCACACACCTCAGGGGCACCAGACTGGTGGGGGGAGGATGGGTTGTTCTGTCCAGAGATGCCTGACGATCACAGAGCCTAAGGAAGGACGAGCAACCCGGCGCCCGCCCAAGAGGGCCCAAACGGATCACTTACAGAAGGGCTGCTTCGGGGGTCAACTCGCAACATGCTTGCGAGAGAGTCTCTCCTCCCTCGCCAGAGTTCCCCAGGCGGGGAAACAGAGTCAAAGACCGGTTCTGGGTTCCATCCTAGCATCTAAATATGGCAGGCAGCTTGGCTCTGGGTGCAAAAGCAGCTCCTGACCAGGCCAGGGGGAAGGGGAGGCGCCTTGTTCAAGGGTCCCCCAACCTTGAAGCCGGCACTGTGGCCTAAGCTGTGTGGACACGGGGAGGGGAGGGGAAGAATCTGGCAATCCCCCCCCCCCCCCCGGATTTAGGTTCTGGGTGCTCCCACACCGGAAGAGCAAACACAGTGGGAACGGCTTGAAAGAAGGTTTACAAACATGTATTTTACAGGGCGGACTGAATGCCCGACCACGCGGGGGGGAAGAGCCGGGAAAGGACCCCGGCGCAGAGAGGAGGGCAGCTGCGCCACTCAGGGCGGGCTGGTGCCGTGGCCGGCTGGGGACTGCCGGCCTGTCAGATGTTGCCGGAAGATGTCCTCTGCCCTCTGCAGGTACTCGGCCGTCTTCTTCTTCACGGCCTCCCGGCGGGCCGGATCCGGGTCCCCTGCAAGGCAGGCATGAGGCGTGTGGGCAAAAGGGCTCCCCCTTTGGCTCGCTCGCTGCGCCGCCAGGTCTTCCGAGCCGAGGACCGAGGGCTGATCCAAGCCCTCCCCAACAGCGGACCCCACCTTTTCGGGTGGCTGGGTGGGCCTGTTTGAAGTGGTACGGGGCACTCTCGCAAGCCAGGCAGTGGACTGAGGAGAGGCGTGCCCCTCTCCGAAAAGGACACCCCAGAGGAAGGGGCCCCAGAGGGAACCAGGAGAATGTTGAGAGGCTGCATTCGACAAACCACTCTGCGCATGCTCAGAGACTCATCCTTCGTTGGTTGCACATACTAGAAGTGCAGTGGAAAGTAAGGGGCTTTTGCCAAAGAACGGCCTGTGGCGTGGAAGCAGAGTGGGGAACCTGGCTCAGGACGGCAGGAAAAGCGGGGTGGATCTCGCCCGGGCCAGTCCTCCGTGCGGGGGCTGAGCCGGCCCGTCCCCGTGGGGTGAAGACGCAGCCAAGCGAGCAGCCGGCCGGCACCCGGGTTACCTTGGAGCCCCTGGAGCAGCAGGTCAACGCCACCGCGGTAGCCGTCAAAAGCCTGCTTGTGGTTCCCGGCCGCTTCGCTCGCCATGGCCTGCCGGATGCGCTCCACGGCCGGGGGCAGGTACCCCCCGGGGTCCGAGGCAGCCGTCCCGTCCTCCGGGGGAGCAGAGGGTGCCGGGCCGGATCCTGCGGCACCAAGAGCGGCCAGCTCGTCCCCGTGCGAGGCGTTCGCTGCACCTGCGGCTGAGCGACAAGGGCCAAGGCTGACGGAGAGACGCCCGGCCACCGCCCCTCCCCGCCTGAGAAGCCTCCCCAGGGCGTGTGGGGCGGATCGGGGGCGCGGGGACGGAGCCCCACTCCGGCCTCCTCACGGCGGCGCAGTCCTCGAAGGAGCGCCCCCAGTGCAGGCGGCTGCTTTGCCCCATTCTGGAACTTGTCGTCTTCCTGGCGCCGGGCTTGGGCAGAGCAAGCAGCTCTTTGCTGCTCGTTCCAGATCAAGCTGCCCCAGGTATTTTGCCTGCCGGCAGAGAGCCAAGTGTCTGCTGGGGGCTTCCGCTCTCCCCGCATCCCGCAGCCACGGTGAGACTGCATTAAGCTCAGGGGTAGCACCCTGCCGATGAAGCCCCGCAAACCTCGGCTCCACCACGCCACCCCTGCCCGGTTCTCTCCGCACCTTCGCAAGACAAGCTGGGGAGAACCCACCGGGGTGGGGACCGTGCCTGTCTTCCCACGCCCCAGAACCCTGCGGGTGCCCTCCGGCCCACCTACCTTCCTTGGAGAAGGGGTCGAACAGCGCCAGCTCCTGCACGGAGAGGCAGCAGGGTGGTGCCCCGGGCTCCCGGGCATCCTCCTCTTCTCCCACAAAGGCAAACAGCACGTCCAGCGCCTCGTCCTCGTCGAGCTGCTTGGGTGAGGCGGCCCCGGGTGGAGGGGGGGGGGGAAAAGGGGGGGGGGGGGATCAAAGGGGGGCATCAAATCAGGCCCCTGCCAGGGACCTGATGCACGTAAGCACTGCTGATCTCCCCCAACTTCCCCCTCCCCAGAGAACGCGGCTGCCAGGCGCTTGAAAGATTCGGGGCCCGGGCACCAATCTGCCTCTATGCGATTTTCGACAGGATCACAAGGCTTGTTCCAGTGGCGGCAGGCAGGGCCCGTCACTCCATCCCCTGAACGCACCTCATGTCCAGAAAATGAGCGCTTCCGTTAATTTGGACCCTGAGCCAGAGTATCCCCAGCCAATGGGAAAAGTTGTTGTTATCATTGTTATTACATCCTGCTTTTTCTTAAACTAAACCCAAAGCAGCTTACATCCTTCTCCACCTGCTGCTCTCCATTTGATCCCCACAACAACCCTGTGAGGTAGGCTGGGCTGAGAGTCTGCGACGGGCCCAGAGTCACCCAACGGGCTCCATGACCGAGAGGGACTCGAACCCGGATCGCCCAAGTTCCAGCTTGTAACCACTAAGCCGCACTGGCTTTTTAGGGAACTCTTTCCGGTTTCTTTTTCTGAGGACGTGATGTGAAGCGGGGCCTTCCTGGTTGTGACCCCCGGACCGCAGCACTCCTTCCTGAGTTTTGCTCCCTCTTTGCTGGTAGGCACCCCGCTTTTTCTTCAAGCAGCCCTTTGGTGCTTAAGGGTGGGCTGGATGCGACTTTCATTCTGTGGCTGCAGCATTTTCCTACGCTTGCTTTATTGCTGTTTTCGTCGAGTTTAATTCACGCCTGGGAGTCAGCCTTGCTGACACTGTTCTTTGCAGAAAGGCAAACCGGGCAGTACCTCTCTCCCCGCTTTTGGGCTCCAGGTGTCGCTCTGGACTCAGGGCCTCCGCGCCTCTGCTCGGGTCCTGCTTCGCCTGCAAGAGTCCCTGCTCCACGAGGGACCCCAGAGCATCCTCGCCGGCCTCAATGCCTTCCGGTGGCACCGGGATCAGTGGGGGAGGCAGGGAGGGCAGGCCGGAATTCTCGGGGGGGCTCTTGCCCTCTCCACCCTGCAAGACAGAACCGGCAAAAGTGGGATAGAAGGCAGGCCAGGGCTGCTCCTGCGAGAAATCCAGCCCCTCGGAGGTCCCCACCGGGGCGGCTTCCCAGAGGGCCTGTGGCCGGGGAGCCTCGTGGCGCCCTCCCCCCACTCCGCCAAAGTACCCGGAAGAATTCCTTGAGTTGAGGGCTGTTGTTCAGGGCAGGGATCTGCACGGTGAAGCGGAGCATGTTCTCGGCCGCCTGGCGCCGTTCCTCGATCACCTGGGGGTCGAAACGGCCTGCGAGGAAGGACAGCTCGGCATCAGATCCGGATCACGGCCCCCGTCCCCGCTGCACCGGGATGCTCCTGCACCCGCAAGATTTTCAAAATGCAGACACCGAGGACACACCAAGCCCCGAGTAGGAGGACGGCACAGGTCACCTGGGCGACACCTGGGGCTGGGCCTAATCCAGCCCTCTGTGTCCCCCTGGAGGGCCGTGGGCCCCTTCCCCCCGCCTGCCCTTCAGCCCTGGCCACCCGTTGCTCGGCATACTGCATCGTTTAAATTCAGCCTTAAATTCACCTGTGCAGGACAGGCTAGAAAGCCCCGAACACAGGCAAGACCAGCACTGTCCGCTCTCTACTTAGCAGTCTCATTCACCACGCCGTCCCTTAGCCACACGCCCTGCCCAGCGGCTCGGCCGGCTCCGCATCGCCGGGCTCGGCCGTCGGCAGCAAGCAGCGCCCCCGGCCCGGCCCCAGCGCCTCACCGAAGACCTGGGCCTTGGGGAAAGCCGGGAAGTCCTCCAGGCGCCGGAAGAGGTTCCGGTGGATGTAGCCCAGGTCGCCATGCAGCTTCTTGAAGTCGCTGTACCGCTTCCACACCACGATCTGCGGGACAGAATCGGGGTTGGTGAGCCTGCTGCGCCAGAGCTGCCTGCCTGGGTCTGCGTCTGCCCACCTTGGAGGAACAACGCGGAACAAATGCAATAAATACAGCTGCGGGGAGCGGAGCGGGCTGGGGAAGAGGGGACCCTCCGCCCTGCCCTGAGTGGGGGCGGACCTACCTCCTTGACGTCTTCGGGGTTCGCCTTGGACACAAACTGGAAAGAAGAGAGCGAGCGAGGCGGTGAGGACGGGCCCGGGGCCGGCACGGGGGTCCCCTCCCGCTGGCCTCCTTGGACCCGCAGCGGGGCAACGGACCCGGATCCCCCGCCGCCTCCCAAGTTTCGCAGCACGAAACTTCCCGCCAACCTGTCCGTCTCCTACTCGTAAAACCGGCCTTAGAATAGCGCTGAAGAAACGCAGTCTATTCTAGAAAATCTGCATTTCTGCCAAACTGGCCGGGAAGTGGGGTGCAAGGAGCTCCTGCGGCCCAGAGGCGCTGGCCCCACTCTGCGCTACGGGGCCGGAGCCGAGCCTGCCCCAAGCTCAGTCGCGCAAGCCAGAGCACGCGCAGAGTCGCGCCGCCGCCGCCGCCGCCGCCGCCGGGACTCTGCACGCGCGCAGAGGCTCGGGCTCGCAGCGCCCCTTTGGCGCCGGGCCCCGCGCCCCGGCGCGCGACGCCCGGGCGGGTCCCCGCAGCCGCGCTCACCTTGGCCGTGACTTTGTACTCGGTGTGGCCCTTGGGGTGGCTGCGCGGGTCGCTGACGGCGTAGTAGCGCCGGTACTGCTCCGGGGCCCGGCAGGACATCGCACCGCCCCTTCCGCGGCGCGGCCCCTTTAAATGCGGGGCGGCCGCGCAGCGCGGGGAGCCGAGGCGGGGTGTTCGGCGCCCCACGCCCGCCCGGGCGCATGCGCGCTGCCCGCCCGGCCAGGGAGCGTCCGCAAAGCGCAACCCGGGCGGGGCGCTTGCCGGCGCCGGTGGGAGGGGCCTGCGGCGCAAGCCCCGCCTCTCCCGCCCAGGCCGGTGGGGGCGCCCGGGGGACATGCCCCCGCGCCGCGCTGGCCCCCCTTTGCAGAGCAGCCCCCCCCCCGGCCCGCCCCCCCCCCCCGCCTCGGCTTTCTCCGCGGTTTCCCTTCTGCGGGCGCAGCAGCCGCGCTCCTGGCGGGACCAGCGCAGCGGACTCAAGTAGCGATCGAGGGTGCGTCCCGTCCGAGCATCACTCAGCGGTTTACAATACAAACGACAAACCCCTTTCCCTCGATCTGTTTTCCTTTTAACCTGTTTGCTGCCATATTCGCTTTCTGTCCAGAAAGAAATATTCCAGGTTCCTCTCGGATGTTGGGACTGGGATTCCACAAGCTTGTGCAGAGGAGCGGGGGGCTTGGATGTGGGCCTTTTTTGCTCTGCCCTGAGCCCCCTCACAGTTTCCGTACTACACCCTGGCCCAAGAGCGGCACGCTCAAGATGAGTGTGCACACAGTGCAGCAAACGCAGAAACAGCGAGTCAGAAGGGGCCTCCAGGCCATCTAGTCTGACCCCCGGCTCCAGCTGGCTCCGCTCACGACATGCCCACCATGTGCACGTCCAGCCTTTCCTTGAACACCCGCACCGGTGGGGCCTCAACCATCTCCCACGGAAGCCCCTTCCATGCCCTCGGGGTCCTGTCAGGAAGTACTTCCTGGCATCCAAATTGAACCTTGCTTCCCTGAGCTTTGCTCCGTTGGGTGACAAGATGTGCTCAGAGCGTGTGCAGAGTTCCTGTATAGCAATCTTGAGTAACCCCGGTTTTTGCCCCCTACAGCTGACCCCATATTTGTGGAAAGAGGGAATTTCAGCTGGCGTGACAAAATTTCCCCCTTTTGCAAAACTCCATGAGGACGCTTGGCCTTTCTTTTTGCAAACAGCGACCTCAGATGGACAGAATGGCAGTGGACCATCGAATCACCCACTGCACAGCTGTGCCCAGTGCCACCCCTTTGGCTTGGGAGTGCATCTGGAAAGCTGGCTGTGCTGTGGGCACTCGCACAAAATGGCTGCTTTTCTGGGGAAGGGCATGGCTGATCATGTAGCTGGTCACCCCCGGCTCACGTTCCGGAAGACGATGACGAGGAGGCTGCCACGCTTGTATGTGGCCGAGAAACTCAGTGCAAAGGCCTCGAATGCTGGAGTATTTGCCCCAGCAGAGTATTTATTTCATAGATGACAGACTGGTGATGCTCTGACTATCGCCATATTTACTGGGACTCGGGCGATCCGGGTTCGGGTCCCCGCTCAGCCATGGGGCCAACGGGTGGCTTTGGGCCAGTCAGACTCTCAGCCCAGCCTACCTCACAGGGTTGTTGTGGGGATAAGACTGAGAACGATGTAAGGCCCTATGCATTTTTGACCGCATGATCCTAGTTACTCTCGGATGTTAAAAAGCCTCGCGACTCCCACGTCCATTAACAAACACAAACATAAATCAAACCCGAAACAATATATCTGGAACAGCAGCCACAAATTTTAGCGTTTGACGGGGGGACATCTGCATCCCCGCTTTCTTCGACACTGGCGCGAGGCTGCGGCACCCAGGGACAGGCTAGGCCGTCGAGTCGCATCTTTATTGGTATGCTCCCGAGTCAAGGCCATACAGAGAGCCAAGTGTGGGCGACCCCGATTTCCCCCTCCCTGGGCTCCTGCCAGCACGGACTGCGCCCAAAGCCCCGGCTTGGCGGCAGCAGCAGGACCCGATCAGCCGGGCAGGCCCAAAGCAGCCAGGGGCAAAGGGTCCAAGGTACCGGCCACACGAAGAGCGTGCGGGGCGGTGGGGGGGGGAGGAGGAGGCGGCGGCAGCAGCGTGTGGGCCCTCGCCCGGCTCAGTCCACGTTGAATATCCGCCTGGAGATGTCATCCAGCAGCCAGTCCACTCCCGCCAGCAGGTTCTCTCCCGTGTACGCGCTGCAGCCCTGGATGCGCCAGTGGTGGGTCTTGATGCTGTCCAGGTCCAGAGCCTGGCGAGGCAGAAACATGGCGCTGTGAGCGATGATGGTCCAGGCAGGCTGGGGAGGAGCTGAGCGCAGGCCCGCCGGAACCACAGACCGGCGGGAAGGGGACCCTTGGGAAGCACAGATGCTCCTGGCGAGGGTCCCCGCCTTTGGGCCCCCTGGGAGGGTCACCAGTGGGGAAGCTACACGTGGGTTTTGGTCCTGGATGCCGCCGGCCTGTCGGTCTCTTTAGTGAGATGCTGATTCCATGTTAAAAGAGCCTCAATTGAGGTAATGGTTGCTTGGCAGAGCTGGGACTGTATGGTCCTGTGAATGGCACAGAGCACGCGGTCCAGAAATGAACGGAACGTGACTCTGTTTCCTTGGAATTCTGCACCAGCCGGGAGACGCCCTGCAGAACTGGAGCGGACGCAACGGAGCAGGCGATGTGGAAACGGCGGGGCAAACACAGTGTCCCACCGAGCTGCGTGCTCCAGGCTGCGGGACCGGCCGAGAGCCACAAGACGGGGCTGCACGTCTCTCCACCTCTGGCCCCCCGCTTTGCCCCGGGGCTGCCCAGGCACCAGCCCTGTCCCCCCATGAGCACTGGCTCTCCTCTTCCTCAGCCCCCCTCACTTCTTACCTCCTGGATTGCACTGGGGTTCAGCGCCCCCGGCAGGTCTTGCTTGTTGGCAAAGATCAGCAACGTGGCTCCAGCTAAGCGCTGTCGGGAAAGGAACGGCCGTGAGACACAGAAGCAGGCCAGGCCCGGCACCGGCACCGCTGCCGGCCGGAGCGTTCCCAGCCCTGCACGGACCCCGCTCCTCATCGTTACCCCTGCGAGGCGCAAGGCCGGGTCCACACGCCCTGAGCTTTCGGCTTGCAGCCTCCCCACCTTCATAGCCAGTGGGCAACCTTTGCTGCAGGGAGGAAGTGCCCGGCCGGGCAGGCCGTTGTCCTGCTGTGCCTGGAGGGGCCAGGGCCCCCGCTGCGCTGCAAAGCAAGGGCTGCCCCCGCCCCACCGCACCCCACCCCTCCTACCTCCTCCACCAGCAGCCCCTGCAGCTCCCGCTTGCAGTCCTCCAGCCGCAAGAGGTCGGCGCTGTCGACCACCCAGATGAGCCCGTCGGTGCTCTCGAAGTAGTTCCTCCAGTAGGAGCGCAGCGATTTCTGCCCCCCCACGTCCCAGAAGTTCAGCTTGAACCTGCAACGAGAGGGGGCATGGTGCTACCGGGGCGGGGGCGGGGGGCGCGCGGGCGGGGGGCGCGCGGGGCGGGGGGGGCTCACCCGCGGTGCTCCAGCGTCTTGATGTTGAAGCCCAGCGTGGGGGAGATGGTGTCGATCTCGTCCCCGTTGAACTTCTTCAGGATCGTGGTTTTGCCGGCATTGTCGAGGCCCCTGACGGGGCAGGGAGTCAAGGGGAGCAACGGCGGGGGAAGAGAGGATGCCCCCGAGGAGGGCCGGGGGACATGCACGCCCCAAAGCCCGGTCTGAAGTGGCCATCAGCCCCACAGCAAGCAGGCACGCCACGGGCTGCGGCGGAAGCAGGCGCACTCTGCGCACGCACAGATGCACCCTCTTACCTCCTCGGGTCACGGGCTGCAAAGGTTGCATGGAAAGGCCGGACCAAACCAGGCCCTCTGGTTCCCAGATCCAGGGGCATGTAGGGGCAGGCTCGGAGCCGAGTCCAGGCAAGGCGCTGCCCCCTCGCCCACCCCCAAATCCCCCCTTCTCGCTCGCTCCCCGCCCTCCTTTTCCCCGCGGAAGGATACAGCATGAGCAGCCGCAATTCGCGTTCCTTCTGCCGCATTTTCTTCAGGATGCTGAGCAGCCCCATCGCGCGCGCCGACGGACTGGCACGCGCTGCCCCCTCCCGGGTTCTATTGGCTCCACCTCCCCGAGCTCGGCCAATCGGAGGTTGCCCTTTCAACCAAAGAGATAGAAAGAGAGGAGGGTTGGCATCTAACTTGCACTTCCAAGCAGTGGAAATTTCCATAGTGCGGGGCCAGAGTGCGGGGCCCTTCATGTTACTTAAGGACTGAATTTTAAAAGCACTTACATGAAAGATTCGTATGGGTGCTCGCTTTGTATAGGATTGCACTGTTAATTTATATTTGAATCGAGGCATGGAGGTTGATACCAGCAGGAGAGGAACCTGAAGTCGTCATAGAAAACGAGTTAAATTATTCCTCCTTCCTTAATCGCCAAGCCCCACCTTTTCAATGGAGGACGACTATGACGGATATGGTAGCTGCAACGTAAACTCACACAAATAGAGTGAGAAACGGGGTTTGACATACGGGTCCAGTTCCCAGTTTCTCATTTGGAAGTGAACAATTCGGCAAGGCAAGAACCTTTCTAAATCCGGGAGTCGCTCCATCCCCGCTTCTGCCCTGCCATATTAACCGTGGGCGACACTGCAGGGTTGTTGTGCACTATTCTTTGAGCACACGTTCGGGTTGCAACAAAGGCCCGTTTCTTCCATCCTCTCCCAGCCTGAAACGCTTGAGCCGGGTTGGCCTACAGCTCCCATCCTCCGCGGTCCCGATTTGCCATGCTGACTGGGGATGATGGAAGGTAAGTCTGAAAGGTGCCGTCTGCGCTCGGCTGCTCACAGTCTTCCCTGGCCCAAAACCATAAGAAGAAAACTACTGTGCAACCGCCTGTCTGGAACCCTCCCGCCCTGCGGGCTGGGGATGTTGGGGTCGGCACTCGTGCGCCTGCGTGCGTCCGGCGATACTATCGCGGCACGCTGGGAGCTGTAGTCGCGAAGGCCGGCGCGCCGCCCCCGGGAGAAGGGAGCGTCTGGGGCAAGCGGGCGGCGACGGGCAGATGCGCGGGGCCGGGAGGGCCGCGCGCCCGCGAGGCAGCTCTTGCAGGGGGGCGGCGGCGGCGGGGGGCCGGGCGGCGGAGGGGGAGGGGGAGCCGCCGCCGC